GAAGTGAGATTGCATTGTGCTCATGAAGAGAAGCAAAGAATCACACTTCAGGACTTTCCCAGAAAAGGAAAATATAAGACGGAAGCATTTGGCAGGCTCTTTAATAATAGCAATAACAATAATAAAATCCTTTTGAAGTACCTTATCTAAAAAGACAGCATCCCTTCTGTGGTGCATTAGTATTGTAATTAGCTGACATTATCAAGGAAAATGTGAATTTACAGCTATGGCAGGATTTGTTCTAATATAATTCAATGTAAAGTTCTTAACTACAAAGCTTGCTTTATGGCCATTTATTCTTTTAATTGGGATCCATGTTCTCTTAGGTCCTGCCCATTTGACAGTTAAATCAAAGGTAATGAGAGCTAAGTGAAAACACCAACTATAGCTAGCATTGTCTGAAATACAGAAAACTGAAAAGCAGTATTTTCATCAGAAAAATAGGAAAAAAATTCTTATTCATGTATATTTTAAATGAGTTGTAACAAACTCTCTATAATAATGTTCTTAATTAAACTATTGCTCTAAATTTCAAATTTCCTTCTACCTCTTCATCGCATACCCTCCCCATGGAAAAAATATAGACTAACATATAGACTAAACATTTATAAAGCTATTTGGGAATAATTTAATCTGCTACTAAATCAGCACTATTCCTGCCACACTTGCTGAAACAGTTTTCTTCTCCCTTCTCATTGGAGAAGTGCCCTTTGGGCATCTGATCTGTTGCACCACCCTACTCCTACTGAAATCAGTGGTGGGAACAGCATGCATAGCCATGCTTTCAACACCATTTGGATTAGATTTCTAAACATTTAAGATCCGCATAAAGATTCAACCTTCATAGTAGCACAGTGGTCATTTCTGATGCTGAAGGCATGCCTGACCAGACACATTTCTTTCTATAATCTCTGACATGAGTGCACATGCTGCATATAGATACATGCGGCAGGGCATTCTTACTAGGCTTTGTCACCACAGCAGTAGCACAGGAATAGGGAGAAGCTACTGCTCTAAGCTGGTCAGACCATGCCCCACAGTTTGAGTTTTAGCGTTTTCCTGATTTCATCCCCTACCCCCCAGACAAAACCAGAACTGAGAAAAGAAACAAGCTCACTCAAACCCAGCTATTTCTCTAGAAACTTGGTCACAGAATGTCAGAAAAGCAGACAGATGTGAGGAGATCACAGGGCCTGACCAGTTGTTCCTTAGCTTTACAAACCTGGTCATTATACGGGGCAGGCTGCCCTCTGCACCACAAGGTCTACTCAACACAGGGTACAGCTCCTTACTTTCCTCAGGTGACTAGCTAAGTGGGTAAGCATTTGACAGAACCATTTTGATAGGGCTGCTGCCTGCAGAGAACTTCCAAGCTCCCATTAACTACAGCTCTTCAGAGAAATTTAAAAAAACAAAACCAACCCCAACACCAGACAAAGAACCCCACAACAAAGAGGAACTAAAAAAAGAATTACAGAACTGAAAGATTTACAGAAGAAAATGGGAGGTACCATAGCTCAGTTTTAGAAAACAAGTGCTTATTTCACCAGTGTATTAAGGTCAACTGCCTAACTTTCTTTGCCTAAAGCAAAGCAGAGGAAAGTAAACCAGATGTTTAACAGCCACTCCTGTAGACAAAAAGAGAAACACCTTTAGGGTGTCTTCTTTCAGGTGTTCATTTCAACTTTTCTATAATCTTGTTTTTAGTGGGAAGTCTTTAAATGAAAGAAAGCCCTTTTAACTCACACTACAAACCATGGAAACCAAATGTCCTGTGCTGAACAGGAGGAAGAGACAGTTAACTTACAAAAGGATTCAACACCTGATCCAAATTGCCTTTTATCCCCCAACCCTCCAGAAATCAAACTTAAGTTACGCAAGTACCAAACCCAGTCTAGGCATTCAGTGGCAGCTGCATTAAAAAGACAACTCCAAACAAGTTGTCCACTTATAAGGGAGGTTGGGATGGGCTCTTAAAGCAGAACATGCATTCAAATACTCACAGAATCTGGAAAATACTGTTCTATATTCTGGTGCTGATTCACGCCTTCATTATAAACTGGCTCAAAATTATCAAAAATTTTCAGCTATGATTCTGATTTTGATTCAGCTATGATCCTGACTTTGCAACCTACTTTTCCTTATGGAAAACAAAAAAAAAAAAAAAAAAAAAACAAACCTAAAGGAACACCAAGCCAAAAAATCCTTTCAGCAGCAACATATAGTTTTCTAAAAGACTAAGGGCATTCAGGAGCTACAATATACCAAATTCAGACTTCATTTTGCAAAACACAAATCAAATCCAAAGCACTGGCTCTGTCCCTGACAGACCCACTGAGATTAATGTTCTATTTCTACAGCCTTTAGTGAAGGCTGTAGAAATCACATTTAATTATACAGAAAAAAAAAGATATCAAATCATTTTTTTTCTTATACAATTATAAACTATAAAGAAAATTATAAAGAAAAAAACCTTTTTCTTATGCATATTTATGAGATTTCATTCAGCTCCAAGATGGCTGTCTTCATCCACAGGCTTTCAAGCACCATGGCTCACTCATAATACAGTTACAGAGTAGCTGAAATTAACCAAAATAAATATTGCTTTAATTAGCTTGTTCTAAACAAGAGAAACATGAACACATCTCTCTTCCTGAGAGGTTTTGTGAACTACTTCCTCAAACCGGGGGGGATGAACATAACATCCTCAGCAGCAATTAAGTTCAAATGTCTGTGAATCTGGGGCTCTAAATCACAGCTTAGAAAGAGCTCTCTGCCCAATGTATTCACTAAAGACTGCGTGCCAAACAAATGCTGCTCTCCAAAAGTCTCCTTGTAAACTTCCCTGTTGTTAGCTGAGGAGAAAATAGTAAGCTTACCAACATGGAGTAGGTCAACAACCATACAGTAGAAATACTTAAGTGGGATTCACATGATCTATTTGAAAAATGTAACTATAGAATAGCCCCCCTTGCTAACTAGGGCTGATGCCCAACTGACAATTGTTTACAGCCACCTCCTAACAAATCTGTACACACAAAATTCAACTACTGCCATGTATAGTACAGCTGCACAGAACTGCAGTTATACTACTTTTGGGTTACTTTACACACTTTTATTATTGCTAAGTTGATGCAAATCATCACCCATGTTTAGACAGCATTTAACATTCCTGTTGCTTCAAAGGGGATATACAGTTCTCCTCCATTATTAAAAGAAACCTGCCTGGCCAATCCAATAGAATTCCTCTGAGATCTCCAACCTGAAGACAACAGAAAGATTTCTACATGTTAGACAGGACCAACACTACAGTGCAAACTAAATTCTTGGATCAACAGTGCAATCTTTGTGCAATCTAAGACTTCGGCAAATAAGCAAGACAGCATTGGTGAAACTTGTAGAGGGGAAAATCATTAAGCAGGACAAGAGTGGAGAGAACTAAGTGCACTTTATAAAATCTGCAGATCAGTCATTTCCATATCTCATTTCTCTTAATGCAGATATTTCAGGCAGAAAGGTCAAACATACAATTTTTAAGACATTCATCTCTGTTCTGATGCTCTGCCACTAGAGGTATGAGGCTGATTTCTATGTTTTGACTTAACACAAAGCTCTCTGGAAAAGTTCATATAGAAAGATACTGTTCATGTAAATCCAAAGCAATACAAAGCTAACAGTACTTCCACTCTTCTTGGAAATACCTTCTTAAGTTGGTAGCAATGATCGAAAAAGACAATGAACTTAGGGAGGATTTTCAACTACAACAACAATTTCACATTGTACAGTTATTCTTAATATATACTAGAAAAAGTCAATACTCCCAGAAAAAAAAAAGTAGAAATGAGAATAACAACTTTAGATTTTATAACTTGACAGTCATTTCCCACATATAGAAACAGGCTACACCTCCTGATGGATCAATAAGAGGAGGTATGTTAATTAATATAGCTATGAGTCATCAATACAATATACATAAGTAAGATGTTATATACGGAGCCTGGAAATAGGATGGCAGAGGGAACAAAGGCAGGACTGTCTCCAGTCCACAAAGAAATGCATCACTAAATGATTACTATACGCTGTGGTATGAGGCTTTGACACTGAACTCATTGCTTATCTTTTGAAGAATTCTTTTCACAGTATCTTTCAACTATGAAGTATGCATTTTTGAAGGGAGAAAATTATAAACCAGCATCTTTTTCACTGTTCTGAGAAAAGAGTCTTGAGGAACATACCAAGAATCTCTTATCTGCATCCCGGTTCGCTTTGCTCTTTTAAAGTTCTCTGAATTATTTGGAACCTATTTTTCATCTCACTCAAAATGCAATCCAGCAGACACACCTCAACAGTGATTCTGAGACCACTATGCCTGGCACTCTGCAGAATGACTTCTCTCTCTGCAAAATAAATGCAGTCTGACAGGGTAGTGCAACACTAAATGATACTATCACATGCACTCTCTTGCTCAGTGCTCCAGATGTTGAAAAGCATCACTGTAGCTGCATAATATTAAGTTTTCAGATAGTCAGCTCTCTGCAAACTAATGCCTCTACACATAGCCTTTCTAAACAGAAAAAAGAGACACCATGATGCTTTTATACTGTATAACACATTTTTGTTTTATTCAAGCTCTTTCAAAGTTAGGCCACATAAGCTGCATGTAAAACTTCTATAAAGGCATTGCAGATTTCCATTTCCCCAGACATTGGGAGACAGGCACACAAGGATCTCACGCTGAAATGTGAGAACCAGTGGCTGAAGTCAGTGAAATCTATTCTGCTCTCAGTCACATCAGAGAAAATCAGAAAGAAAGGACTCCACAGGAGTCAGTACAGTTACACTGATATAAAGACAGGAATAAAGACAGAATTAAGACCATTCAAACTCAAATCACACTCTAGAGATCTGCATTTTTGACAGATCAACACACCCTTAACCCAAATTATTCAATTTTATATTGAATAAAATATTATACATCCTGAAGTGAAAGTTTGATGAGATTGGTTCAGAGGGGCTCTTTTACTCAGCTAGGGATATATCAATCTGAATTGCAAAAATACAATAAATCAGCCAATATGCCTCTATTTATGAGGTTACTAGTAACATCTTCAGTCCTGAAAAGAAAACTTACTGGAGAATTTGTATACTGGAAGATACAGCAGAAACATTAATCAATGCTTGTATCACTGCTGCAAGGTGGAGAACAGTTATCTCTGTTTTGCTAACCAAGGAATTCATACAGGAAGTTGCAGTGACTCAGGACAGTTAACCAAAGTTGTGAAAGATATACAGTTAAGAGTCCAGGACTGCCTTCCATAATATAGCATGTCACCCAGACCACCGAGTCCAGGGTGTAGGTCTCTTCTTGTTTCCATCAGTTACAGATTTTGTTTCTTTCAGCAGATTTTGAAGCTCTAATTTACATGCATAGGAAGAGACAATACAATGCTCCATATATACGGCTTGAATGTTTTCCTCATTCATCTCTGATATCCAGCTGCAAAACAGTTTCAATTGCAAGTGGGGAAAAATGACCCTTCTCTGTGTTAATAAAATGTTAAAATTCTTTCACTATGAGTAATAGAACTCCTCTGAGCCAGCCTAATGCTAGAGGGAATCTTCATCTGTATCAATGTCACTGCTTGGTTTGTTCAACCTCTCAAATTCTTCTCCATCCTACAGGAAACAGAAGCAAAGGAAAAAAATGTGAGCAAAACTTATCTTACTATTAACATCAACAAAAACAAACAAACAAAACCAACCCAACCAACCAAACACAAAAAAAAACCCAAACCAAACAAAAAAAACCACATAAAACCAAAGTTTATTTTGAAGACATCACTTATATAACATCAAAACCCTGTAATTTAAATCTCTTACCAGTGTGTTATAATCTTGCTCTGGGATACACGTTTATAAAAAATATCCCTGTATCTTTAAAGCAGCTTCTAGCCCATTCCTTTAACAGGAAGCTTGCGCACACAGTACTGCTTGTTTTCACCACAGCTGCTCAGTTTTAAGTGCTAAAATAGATAACTTCTGGTATACCAGAAATATATGACAGTGTTATTTATTACTTGTTATACAACAACCTAAGAAGGGACTTTGTGGAATATCTGGAAAACACCTCTTCCAAATTTAATATTTCTTAGAGTTAAATGGAGACAGCACCCCCTGCTGGTTTCAACGTGTATTACAGAACACATCTGTGCAAGCAAACTCAAGAGTACAGAAACATTAACCCTTCCCCTTTAGACTGACCGCTCAGCTTAGCTGAATGACCTACCTACGAGCATGCCCTTCCTGCCATGTTCTAGTTAACTACACGACTATTCAAATTCAGACAAAAGCCACTAATGGGCCTGGAGGAAATTTTTTTTTCCCCCCTTATGAAACAAGTGTTAAAACTCTGTATTTATAGATTACCTTTTTGTCTTCAGATACCATTGATTGTTCAGGTAGAAAGAATCTTAACATCAAATATATTAACTTCTTCATTATTTGTGCTCAGCTGCCAAGACTTATCAGTTCTACTTACGTACAATTATTTCCCAGGCATCAATTTCAATTTCTGAATGCCCAAGGCCAGTGAAATATTTGTTTCTAAAGGTTTCAAGAGAGTATTTGTGCAAAGCTAAAGTTGCTCACAAGACAAAGTAGGAAAGCTATGCTTACCTAGGGTTCACACACTGAAAAAGATGAATACGCAAAGCAAGACCCAGTCAATTTAAAAGACTTTAAGAAATACTGAGGAGTTTTGGTGTTTGACTTGAGGCATGAGTCCAGTAACATGAAAAATGAATCTTCCAAACATACCATAGCATAAATTGAGGTGAAACAAAAGAGGAGCCAGGGAAGACAAGAACTGAAAAGCCTTACCCCGCTTGACCTCTCCCATGCATCTCCTTTGATATGTTTGCCCCTTTCCCGCAGAGTAGCGTATTCCAGGCCTCTTGGTTTACTGGCATTATAGATGAATATGGAGAGAAGTACTACAGGAGCTTCCAAAAAGAACTCCAGAGAAGGCCTGAAGTCAAAGATGATAAAAGAGACGGTGGTAATGATGACAGTGGTGATCTGAGCAGTCATAACATGGAACATGTTGTCTCGGAACTTCAAGATGAAGGCTACAGACAGTCCCAGGAAAGCTGTGACAAATATGAGAGCCACTGAGAAGATGTTGTGCCCATAAAAGAAGCCACAATTCCCTATCTGCTTCCTGTCCTTATTCTGCAGTCCCAGCATAAGCCCATTGAACAGCACCCCAAAGGCATAGAGTTTGCTGTTCTGCGTGAAGATGCTTTCAGCAAGCTGATCCCCATCTTTCAAGATCTTTTCATTGTAGATGTTAGCCAGGGCAGAAATGAAACACTGCACCAGAATAAGCAGATGACCCAAACTGAGGCGAAGAGGTTTCAATGCTCCTGCCATGGTACTGGTGACATTCCAATGGAAGCTGGGAAGGAAACTTGGTGTTACGCAGTTGCTCTTTTCCAGGCATGCTTCCTCAGGTCGAGCATAGAGGAGGCAGTGGTTAGATGGACTAAAAAACATACTATGATGGAATCCATGTGCGGCCAAGCTTTGCTGATGGCCTCCAGTTCCTAGAGTCAGGGCAACGATGGACAGGAATAAAATCACCAGAGATGCCCATTGTACCCAAGAGATTTTTCGCCTAGGAGTAGACAAAAAAAGCCACCAACTTTAGAAACACACAGGCATAAATTGTCAGGAGAACAAACTCTATAAAACACATAAAAGACATCATGCCACAGATAAGGAGACAGAGACATGAGCAAAGATAAATCTTGGCTTTCCAGACTTCACAGCAGCACACTTTATTACAGCAAGGGGGGCCCAGCCTGGCAATCACAGAAATACAAATGGACTGTTCTGTAGAGATAATTTAAGGAAAGTATTTCAAGATCATGTTAGTTCTAGATACTGACTGCCTGACAACTTAAAAGCAACTGTTGTCTCTGTGGGAAAACAGATCTGATAGAAAAAAAAAGTAATCACAAAAATTCAAATAATTATCCGCTTTCTCCAGTAAACTTTTACTACATTTCACTTTTCCCACATGATTATGTGCCCTTTTCTAATTTTTTATGATGATACATCATATAAATCTATGAATATAATTTATAAGACTGTAGGACTATTTATATTATTTTTCACTCAAGCAATGACAGTTTACCTTGGGGAAAATAGGGAATTTTGAAAATTAAGTAAACTGTGATATGACAAGAAATATCGAAGTAAACAACTGAGAAAAAGCATTTCAAGTCAGACTGTCAGACACTGTTTCGGTATATTAACGCTTGTAGAAAAGGCATCTTTCCTCCACATCCAACACAAATGAGTTTTTGAGTGTTATTATCCATTTCCCTGTCTTTTCTGAACCTAAATCACACCATAAAGTACTCAAATCAGGTGAAGTGGCACACATAGGACAGAGTCTGGCTTTTGTCAGATGAACAATGAAGAAAGAATACATAAACACTTCTTAAACATACCAAGCTAACGTATAAATGGAAGTACCCAAACCTTAATTCTGACCATCCAACAACTACATAATCAATGGTTCAGTTGTCTCTTATTACAGTTGACCAAATGTGCAGAGATATGTAGGAACTCCTAATAAGCTACCATTTCCTACGCCTTCAGAAAACACCTTTGTAGAAAACAAAGCCAACTCTCCAAGTTGGTATAGTCACAAGAAATCGAATAACTGTTCCCCATTAGATGAAAAGAAAGAATGTAGCTTAACTTCTTCATGAAGGCTGGGAAGATATAAAATTTCTTTCACTTTCATAAATACTACTTACTTTAGCACTATCCTGAAGAGAAGAGCTGTTGTTATAATGACAAAATTTGAAAAGAGTACAGCCATTGCCTAGAAAGAGAAGAAAGGGAACAAATTTATACTCCAGACATAGTGTGAACATCAAAAGTCCACCAACTTCAAGTGTTCACCTTTCTGCAAGGTAAAAAGCATCATCCTGGTACTTACCTTACATCTTTACTCAAGTGGCAGAATAACACTTCCCTAAAATGACACTGAAGCACCATTTTAAAATCTCAAGCAAACCACAGAGACCAAGTTCCACTGAAAGTGGGGAAAGCTGTACTGAAACAAATGTATGAGGAAACCAATCCAGCAGAAAACTTACTTAACAAAACAGTTTAGTTTTCAGCCAGATCAGATCCCCAGCCAGGCTGACCAGTCAGGTGCAAAACCAGCTATGCCAGTAGAAAGGAGGAAGTTCCTCCAAAAAGAAAGTAAGAAAAGAATAGGGGAAGACAATGCTGCTGCTGGCTGTGGTGCCAGCTTGCAGCATTCATGAAATCCCAGACTTGGACAAGGCACTTACAGGAAATAAACTTCTTGCATGTCAAGTGCATTTGTTGCATTGTTTGTCAAAGGCAAGGAGGTTCAGCTTGAATTTTCAAGACTGCAACTGTACTAGAGAAATCACCTGTTTCAAATCAGAACTGAAAACAACTCTAAAGCTCCTCATTTGGGAATAGCTGTACAATTATGACAGTGCCTTATTCCATAGCTATAATCCCAAACTGCAATCTCCTTGTGGCAATGACTGTCTTTTTAGTCTCTATATTAGACACTCTACACTGGGACACTGGACCAAGAAGAGGCTCTTTTAGGCAGTGCAGTTACCATTAAAGATCAGAATCTACCAACACCAGTAGGGAAAAAAAGTTCTTTTTGGGGGTGAAGGCATTTCCCAAATTGTGCTATTCAAGACTGCCCTGTATAGTCAGTACGCACACAAAAAAATCCAGGCATCTGAACTAATTCCTCTAATTCAGCCTTAGAGTGAGATCACTTTTTAAGACAATTTTACACAAAACCATATATGGTTTCAGAAGTGTAAGACACAGACACTGTCTTGAACTTCCTCATCTGCATTTCCACATCCCTGATTCCACAATAACAGAGCCTTTTTCATTTACTAGAGGAAAACCACAGATCCTTTTCCTGTTACCTTAGTTCCAGTCTGTTCCAAGGTACTCTCTGCTGAATAAAAAAAACCTCATGAAACAAACAACACAGGGTCACAAGTAAGCCGAAGAGTGACATGAGACATCTGCCTAAGACACAGCAGCTTAATTTTCCATTTTGCAAGATTACAACACAATAAATATTTATGGAACAAGAAAAATATTGAATAAAGAAGTGAATCTGGCAGAAACAACTCTGGAAAAAAAGAGGCTTGATGCAAAATGTACGAGTGTTCCATAGTACTCTGGTTTTGCTTTACAGTCAAAGCCCCACATCCAACAGCTTTGGTAACATAATATGATCAAAATCTGTAGCAGGATAGTTACAAGGAATTAATTTTGAGTTGTTCTCTGAGGCCTCAAGGGACCTTTGTCATAGATGAGAAGGAGCAAGAAAAAATTTACCAAATATCACCATACCACAAACTTACATGCTACAAACAGAATCTCTGAAAATCTCTTATCACTAGGAAATGTTACCTGCTAAAGAGTATCCATAGCTGTTAGAGCTGAAGCTTACCAAAAAAAATTTTTAAAAATTGCCCCAAAGCAACTCCATACTTCAAGCAACTGTCACCCAGGTGCTAATTAGTTGGAAGCCTAGTAAGTTTTTAAAGTCACATGAAACCAAGTTCAGTGCATATGGCCTCCTTTCAAGCACCTTGCCTCTACCTTTTCACTTTCACTGTCTTGTACACTGCCAAGTTGTTCTACCTTATCTACAATCTTACAGGTATTTAGTTGGTCTTTTAATACCTGTTTACCATGATTATGCACAATTACAGCTAACCCTCATAGAACATATCCATTTAAAAGATATAAGATGCTAAGAGTTCTTAAAAAGAGAAATCTTCGAGCGCATGCTCTGAGGGGAGAGAAACAAGGTGTGAGCATCAGGGGAGGAGTGGGGGTGTAAAATCTAAAAGCCATCCATACTGCAAAAGATGTATAACCTTTGCATAAAAAAAGCAATAGTGTTCATGTAGCCTTCTGAACATCAGGCTTTGTTATTACTAACATTATAACTGAATTTCCTTCCTAAAATAAAAAAAAACAAACAGAAAACATACCAAATGCCAAATCCAAAACCAACACCAAAACCACATCACCAATAAAAAAAAACAAAAAACAAACATTGCCAAAACCCATACACAACAAACCACAGAACCAAGCACTGGGTACGTTATTTTAAGATATCTAACTCTTGATTTAAATTACATTTTTGCAGCCAAGTCTTATTGTAGACTCTGCCCTGTTCATGACAGAAATGTACACCTAAAAGAACAATATTTTAAAGAGAAGTTCTGACAGAAAAGGAACAGAAATATTTATACATATTTTTAATGTTAAACAGAGGCTGCCATAATACCTTATAGCAAGCACTAACATCTGTTTCTAACTTCAAACATAGATATGGAATGAAAATAAAGAAAAGCACAAAACCTGTACTATTTCCTGAGCATATGCAGATTTATCCAAAAGGATGAATGTAGCTAGAGGAAAGTACCAATTAAGTTTTGTGTTTAAACATAATTTTTGCATTTGTTTGTTAGTTAAGTCAGTTTGCCTCCTCCACTCCTCACTTCCTGTTACACTTACTCTATTTGTGGGATTTACATTTACTCATTTCTCTTTGGAGTCATTGAGGAAAGAAAACAAGTAATTATGTGAAGTCATATATATAAAGTAGTAGAAGCTGCACAGAAAAGTGCAGCTCAAATATGAGCAAGATGAGCAAACACATTGAAAGAGAAATACAGAGCTGAAGAAACCAAATGAGTGAAAGCATAGAAAACTTGCCTAGTACTTAAGCAATTCAGTCTATTTCTAAATCATTTCAGATGGAGAAAACACACAGAGACTCCTCTACTGAGAGACCAGGCAAAGCAGATAGCTGTTTAATTTCCTCTGTCTCCAAGGCAGCCATACTGAAAGCCTACCAGTGCACTTTTGGGTCCTTGAAGTACCCTCTCCTGCCACAGTATGTGCCAAGGATACACAGAGCCTCTAGGCCAGTCACAATGTAGTGCTTCTGTCACTCCTTCCTATTCAGGCTGATGTCAGCCTTCAGTACAGTCAGCTGCTGGGATCCCCCTGTCACTCTAGAAACACAAATGGATTCCTCCCCTTCATAGCTCGATAACATTAGGGTACACTGTGTAACTAGAACATTATATTTCTGTGGGTCCAACATGCCAGGTGATCTGATCCACACAGTCCAGTAAACCCAGCTGTCCCTCTTCTAGTCCCCACTTCCTTCTTGAAAAAACGGATTATACTTCTTTTCAACAGGACCAGGAGTAAGATCAGCCTTTCCACTCTCTCTGGCGAACTGCTCACTGGAGACTGGAGCAGCAACTTTCCTGGAAGAACTCCCACTTGTGATGTTTTTTCCTTGCAATTCATATACCTGTGCCTCTAGAGTCAACACAAATTTTCCATCCCAATTCCTCATGTCCTTTCTGTGGCACCACAGGTAAAACCACAGGGTACCCATGGGTGTATACCTTCTATATTCTCCCTCTCGAGCAAAAGAATGCTTGCTGTTAATAGATGAAATACTGGTCCATACAGATAGAGAATAGGACGTATCTTCTTTGAATTGCTGGAACTCCCAGGACAGCTTTTCCACAGCTGAGAAACAAGTCCTTTGGGAGGACGAGAGATTTTCTTTGTATTGCCAGAGATGCTGAACCATTTCATCCACCACTGTGGCATCTCATCTCTCTAGGTCATTACTATCAAGTTGGCATACAACAATGGTGCGCTCCATACATATTTCCACAACATGAGTCATGCGCATTGAACTTTGGATCTGTGGGTAACTGTGCATTGTTCAAGTCATAATAAATCATCTCTAGCACAACCAATTCTCTCAGATACTGGATACTTCTCTACATTGCCTTCCAATTGCCTGAGTGACATCTAATATCTTCCTTGAAGAGTTACCATTCCTTGACACTTCACAGGAACCGCCTCCAGAGGCTGAGAACTTGTGACCCACTCCCAGTTGCCTTCTCAATTCTCCCTTCCCTAGAAAGTGATCCCAGATGATTGGCTTACCTACCCTCTAGTTCCAGGCTACTAGCCCTGTTATCCCAGGGAGCAGCGAGGTGATAATGTGCTCACCCGGATGACAGCTGAAATCTTTTTGCAAATTGCACAGCTCAATCAGGGATAGTGATCAAGTGGTTACTTCTTGTTCCACTCACTCCTCCTGTAATTGTGGTGGCCCTGCTTCATCCTCCTTTACTGAATGAGCTGACTTCCTTGTCCATTTCTTCTTGTGTATAGGGACAACTGATGCCAGCACACACTGGTCCTCTGGTTCAGCTGCATCACCCATTGCCAGGATTGGAGTAGCACAAATAGCTGCTTAACCCTAAAGAAGACCTGAACCACATTCATGGCTCTTAGCAATAGGGCCATGCCGATCTGAGCATCCCAAGTATAATAAAAATTTTCAGAATTCTCAAATGTTATTGTAATTGGCCTGGAGGAGAAGGTGAAGATGTGGAAAGATGTCTTTTCCATAGGTTGGCTCTCCAAGGAGAAAAGGTAAAAGGTATAATTATTAATAGTTTCCAACAGATTACTCCCAAAGTACAGAGGTGATAACAATGCTGGGTACACATACCAGCTCAGTTTCACAACCAGGAATTCTATCATATCGTAAACCAATATTACAAAGTACAGCAAAATGGTAACTTTAGCCCGGCCCCCAAAGGTGATAAACAGCACAGCAGGGAACATGTACACCAAGTGAGGAGTTATGCAACACAACCCTGAGAACAAGCACAACAACCCTGACAGCAAATAAACCAACATTGTGACTAGCGACTATTAAATCAATACAATGAATGCTTATAACAAATTTCTTATAACATGCTCTGGTCAGATCTGTCATTATCTCAATACTTTGGTGCCACTCTGGACACTAAAAAGGATTGTCATGGTTTAAACCCAGTGGGCTGCTAAGTACTACATAGCCACCTGCTCACTCCCTACCTCTGGTGGGATGGGGAGGAGAACTGGAAACGTAAAACCCGTGGGTTGAGGTAAGAACAGTTTAATAATTGAAATAAAGTTGACAACAATAACAACAACAATCATCATCATCAAAAAAAAAAAGAGAGAGAAATAAAACCCAAGAAAGACATAAAACCCAAGAAAGACAAGTGACGCACAGTGCAATTGCTCACCACTGGTGCCCACTCCGTACCTCCCAGCCAACGTCCCCCAGTTTATATATAGGGCATGACGTGCTGTGGTACAGAATACCTCTTTGGCTAGTTTGGGTCAGGTGTCCTGTCTCTGCTACCTCCTTGCTTCTTGTGTCCCTCCTCACTGGCAGACCATGGGAAACTGAAAAGTCCTTGACTTAGGGTAAGCACTACTTAGCAACAACTAAACCATCTGTGTGTTATCAACACAGTTATCAACACTGTCCTCAGACTAAAGCCAAAATACAGCACTGTACCAGCTACTAGGAAAAATTAACTCTATCCCAGCCAAAATCAGGACAAAGCTGTACAACACTGACCAGTGGGCAAGAGAATAAGAAGGTCTCCTTGGTAAGGTAACAAGATCATTCTTCTACCTGCAAATCTTGCCTTGCCGGTATTACAACTGTTGATAGTCTAAAGGCAATGTTACCTACCACTAAGACATCGGAAGATATTTTATTCATTATATGTATACTTACTGGCTGGAGGTAGGACAGTACGTAGAAGACAATCAAGTTATCCAAAAAGTAGAGAAAGGCAGGAATTGACCATTTCATGGAATTACAAAAATTCTTCCAGGAAAGACATTCAAAGGGATGATCCAAACAACCCTCTGAAAGGAAATCAGCAAGAAAATAATCTTATTATCAAAAGTCCATTCCCATGTAACAGAATAGGTACCACTGTTCTATTTTCAGGAACACTGCTGGACTGAAAAAAAAAAAAAACCTAAGGTACTACAGAGGACAGATCCAGGGCAGAACACACAGCCAGAGCAGCAATCCTGTGCCTACAGATCTCCTTGCTTCGACATAGAACACATCAAGGAACCTGTTACCCCCATCAGAGTGTTTGTCTACTGGGAGAAAAAAATCCAATTACCAACCATTCTTTGAGGCTCAAAAAGCAACCCAAAGCCCCCACACAACAGTGACATCATCACTGGGTATGATTTCCTGATGATCATCCATCAAATCTAGAAATGAAACAATGACACAGACAGTGAATCTGTTCATACAGCACCAAAAAGGCAGTCAGTAATGTCAGAAATACAAAATAAACCAGAATTCAGTATCTGTAGCACACAGGACATGATCTGGGTAAAAACAGAACATATAGGAAAAAGGAAGAAAGGACAAGGCACAAAGTATGACATTTACTTAGGTATTCAGAACACACACTTTAGGATGAAGACTGTGATAAACTTAAGAGCTGGTGACAGAAGTACTTTGTTAGCAAAGATTTAAGACTACACAATGTTATTTAATCCTCCTCTGAACCACCAACATATTGAGTTCAGAAAAACTCAGGTATCTGGAAGGAAAAAAACCCAAACAAACAGAAAATGTATAATCAACAGTAGCCAATGATGGCAAACACTGACTGAATGCATTTACTTTCTCAGGTATGTCTGTACTAAATGGTGGAAGTAAAAATTTCCTCAGCTTGCCAGAGCCATGACTGTTAGATGGAGAAGTCGATAAAAATAACAGTTCAGTTTAACAGAAGTCTCCAGTGCTTGACACCCTCTTCCAATTTAAACATCTGTTTCTTACCATTTTGAAATGCTACAAGCTTAAGCTCTTGTTCTTTTTATATCAAGACAGAAAAGCCAAGAAAGAAAAAAGAAAAATAGCCTGCAATGTCAAACCAGTAGCTACTGAGGCCCAACACTGATTTTTCTGAAGAGCAGCCCTAAGATTTGTCTTCACAGCAAAGCCACCTTGAATTATAACATTGGGATGTTGCTTCTGACTCAAATACCACTACACACACAAAGCCTCTTCAGTGGAAGAGTCGTCTAAATAAAAGTGGTCAGAAGAACAGAATAAAGGCCAATTCTTGGGTTAATGCAGTTTTTAAGCTTCTCTTCAGTCTATTTTGTGAACAGTGACTATTATCCTAGCATATACTGTGTTAAAATTGAGAGAATGTGAAGACCCTGTCTTCATTACACTTTCTAATTCAACTTATCTGCCCCCATTTCAGCCACCATGCATACAACTGAAGAACACCTGAATTTACAGCACGAAGTAGAAGTTATAAAAGCAAAGTTTTGTTGCAACTCTGCATGGAAGACAATTCCAGAGAACCTTACTAGCAGGACCTACTCCATACTACAAGTGAATATACCATTAAAAAAAAAAAAAAAAAGAAAAAAAGAAAAAAGAGAAAGTACTACAGCAAATCTTAGAAAGTCAACACATTTGAGTTATTTCAGACACAGGTACTTACCTTTTTTCTTAACCCATAGTGCCAATACCAAACACAGGACCAATTTTACTACTTCAGAACATATGTTCACTGTTGTAGGAAGATAATCGTATTTGTTATCTGTGGGATTCAGCAAATCAGAGAGTACACAATCAGATTCTGTCTCCTGTGTTTATAATTAGAGCAAGAAACTATTTTAATCCCTCAGGTCAGAATTTTAGCCACTTTCCATAAACGCAAAAGGCTCTATCAGCACTTTCATTATAAATATTCCAATTTTTATGATATACAGCTTCCTGAACTGCCTCCTTTCTGGGTTGAAATCTTTCCTCATTTGGTCCCACTTTACAGAATTTTTAAAGAGAACTCAAGAACATCCTTTTTTTCTTTTTTTTTTATTAGGAATATTTTCCCCAAACGACAATATACTATTATTTTCTCCTGGCAAAAAATGGCTTTCCAGGAGGACACAACTTTCTTCTAGGCCTGTATCTTTTCTTTGTTAACATATTTTGCTAATACTTGGCGGAAGGAGCACCAGTAATTCTAGGCAGCTACAGCACACCCACTCTGATACCACTTCTCTCCAAAGCCTGTTGCAAAACAAATATTTCAGTCAAGACACATACCATTACTATTGCTTATACAACAATTTAGCCTTTGAAAATCAGCTATAAAATAATTCACTGCCTCATCTTTTAAGGGTGAATCACCACATGGATCATACACTTTGCAACCCAAGTTATCACTATATGCTAGACCAGAGATACATGTCTATGCTAGTACAGAAATACATGTCACTACTTATACAATTGAATGTTTATCCCAAGAACTCTGCAGGTGGAAAAGTAGGCATCTGGGTATTCCTTTTACCCCAAATGTCAACTCCTTCTTATTTGAGGTACATCGTGTTTATTGCCCAACAGCACCTTCATTGGCAGAATACTTCATCAGGAGGATTCGACTTGAGCCCAATGCAATAAACACGCCTCCAAGCAGAAAAGTATAGATGGTTGTCTTGGAGCAAAACACAACTCGATTACAGCACTTCATTCTGCTGTCTCACTGTCAATATCCTTTGGATGACAAAATGAAAATACACTGTAAATAGTACTTCCAGAAACTGATTAAACCAGGTGAAATGTATTTTGCTTCTTTGTGTTATTTTACACAAAGATGTTTACATCACAAGCTACAATCTCATTCTGCAGTTATCTTTTTCCTTCTTATCAAAAAAAAAAAAGAGAGAGAGAGTGAAAGATATGCTATAAGGAGCAGCAAAAGGGGGATAAGCAATGAACACAGAATACTCAGAAGGTGGCACAGGAGGCCAGTCTGTCAGAAGATTGCATCTATGGAATACTGATTAGCTATGAGGAACAAATAGGCGACAGGTTTATTTTCCTTTAATATTTTTAAAAATATTGTTCCAAATTCCAGCAAGGGAGTGTTTTACAGCTATTCAGCGAGAGCAACACCTCAGAGAAGATCTGGCACTTACTCAGCACCGGCTTGTAGCCAGGAGGACGGGAGGTATACGGATGGCTGCACGCAGAGCCTCAGCTGTGCCTGCCGCTGGTTCCCCGTCTCTAGCGTTACCGTTACTCGGCCGACCCGTTAGCGGATCTCCAGGTCTGACAAACCGACTCGCAGACGGCCAGCATCGGGCCCTCTGCCGGGTGAGGAGGCCTGAGGGGAGCCCCTTCGGGCCGGCTGCGGGCAGGATGTTCGTTAACAGCAGCCACGGCTCGCGCCGTTTCACCTCAGGGAGCAGGGGCCGGGGGCGGCAGGGAGAGCGGCTTCAAAGCAGACCCCCCCGAGTGTCAGCGCCGCGCGCCGCCGGGGACATACGGGGCGAACACTCACCTCGCAACGGCGGCGAGAAAGCGGCCAGCAAGCGCCGCCGACCGCACCCCCCCCCCCCCCCGCTGAAGGACCACTCGCCTGGCTTTGCGGACCGCCGGCTGCCACGTCGCTGCCTCAGGTCGGCACACGGCTGCAGCCAGGAGCGGGGCAGAAGCCGCGTGGGACGAGCCGGGTTCTGAGGCCGGGGCAGCGGGGTCAGCAGAGGCGGCAGCAGCGGCCGGTGCTCAGCCGCCGCGCTCGCAGCACACACCGGCTCCCCTTCACCCGCGCTGCTCGCCCGCCGCGCCCATCGCCAGCTGCCTCAGCCGCACTCACAGCCAGCAAGCACCTCAGCGGCCCGCACCAAGCTCTCCCGCAACCCAGAGCGTTGCCCGGCTCCCGCCCTGCTCCACCGGCCTCACCTGGCAAGGCCAGGCGGTGTCCTCCCTCTCACGCTGGCGGCGCACGCCCCTCGCCTACCCGCCCCGCGCGGGAGCGCGCACCTCATTCTCTTTGACAATCGGCCCTCCCGGCTGCGTGACGGCGAGGAACCGCGCTCCTCCCCCCACCATTGCGGGACACGCGTGCGCGCCAAGAGCCATGGCCCCTCTCCTCCCTCCGGACCTTCCCGCCTTGCGCACGCACGCGCCGGGGGGCGGGCTTGTTGCGGCGGACCAGGGCCCGCTACGGCGCAGGCCCATCACCGCTGGGCCGGGTCGGGCGCGACGAGGTGCTGAGCGTCGGTGTGTCGTCAACGTGTGTGCGACGCGGGGAGAGTGCCGCCGCCAAGAAGCTTGTTGACCGAGGGGCGGGGGAGGTGGTTGTCCTCCTCCTGCTCTCGGGGCCCGCCGGCAGCATGCAGAACGTCATCAACACGGTGAAGGGGAAGGCCCTGGAGGTGGCCGAGTACCTCACCCCTGTGCTCAAGGTGCCGGTCCGTGCGGGAGCGGGGTGAAGCGAGGGGAGGTTTTGGAGCTGTTAAGGGTGGAGGATGCGCCTGCTTTTTTAAAGCAGGGTGGCCCGCGGAGCCGCGAGCCTCCGGTCGCGGGTGGCTGTAGAGTTGTCCTGCTTCCCTCACCTCTGCCTGGGGTGTCACCCGCAGTGCGGCCGCTCGCGGGTTCTTATGGCGCAGGCATTGCTTTGCCGCCCCAGTAGGACGCGAGGAGCGCCCGACCGCTCCGGGAGTCGCTCCGCCTTCCCGGAAGCCGCTCGGCGGCTGCGGTTTCGCTTGTCCCAGCCTGAAGAACTCTGGTTGCAGCGGCTTTATGCAACCGGCGGAGCGCCTCCGAGGGCGCCGTGCTCCTTCAGGCCTCGGGAGAGATTGTGCAGGGGCAGCCTTGCGGCGGCAGAGCCACTGGCCCTCGTCTTGCGCTGTGCCATACAGGATGGAGGGAACCTGAGTGGGAGCTCCCATTCCATTAGGGGTGGGAGCATTCGCTGGAGAGGTGCGGACCTTCGAAGGCCAGGTATTGCTGGACCTGTTGCTGGAGAAATAACTTACTTATTGCTGTTCTCTATTAAATTGGCTAAGCTTTCATAGAACCATAGAGTGGTTTGGGTTCAGAGGACCTTAAGATCATCTAGTTTTAACCCCCCTGCCATGGGCATGGACGCCTTCCACTAGATCAGGTTGCTCAAAGTCCCCTTGGCCTTGAACACTGCCAGGGTTGGGGCATTCGCTTTGGGCAGCCTGTGCCAGTTGCTCGCCACCCTCACAGTAAAGAACTTCTGCCTTGTGTCTGACCTGAACTTCCCCTGTTTAAACCCATTATCTCTTGTCCTGTTGCTACAGTCCCTGATGAAGAGTCCCTCTCCAGCATCCTTTATAAGCCCTCTTCAGATACTGGAAGGCTGCTATGAGGTCTCCACGCAGCTTCTCTTCTCAAGGCTGAACAGCCCCTATTTTCTCACCCTGTCTTCGTATGGGAGGTGCTCCAGCCCCCTTGTCATCCTCATGTCCCTCCTCTGGACTTGCTCCAACAGCTCCATGTCCTTCCTATGCTGAGGACACCAGAACTGCACACAGTACTCCAGGTGGGGTCTCACAAGAGCAGAGTAGAGGGGCAGGATCACCTCCTTTGACCTACTGGTCATGCTTCTTTTGATAAAGGATACTTAACTGATTGTGCTCTTCTGCAGTTCTTAGACTACATCCCATCTTCTGTCTCCTATTTACAAATACTTCTTTACATAAAAGTCACCTTTGTGAATGCCTAACTTGTCAGCAGTTCCTTCACCACTGATTTTCACATCTCCCCATGTTTTTTGAAAAACTACTTTTGCTGTAATTGTTTATGATAGCAGCTTCTACCTGTGGTTTTACGGCATGATCTTTTAGGTGCTTTGTACTCTGCAGCTTAGATCTTTGGGCAGAAGACATGATACTTAATAATTAATTGAACTTGCCCCTCTGTGGTATGTTGCCTGCATAGTGGACCTTTCTACAGTTACCCACCAATGTGACGTATTATGGATTGCAGTTCTGGCATGGAAAAGTGAAGTGACTTGTTTGCCATGGTACAGTTGCTGTTGCACAGCTGGTGTAATGGTAGAGGAATTCTTGTGCCCAGATGTACTATTGGGAGGAGGCAGCAGTAAAATCCCCTACAAATGGAAAGATATAACAGTGTACATGTTCCATTTACAAGGGGTTGAAATAAATACTCCAACTTGGTAACTTTGAAAGAAACTATACCTGTGTATCTCACTAGCTTACATACCACAGAATGTAGAGATGAAAAAGTGAACTGTTTATCCTTAGGGCATAGAGGATGGATATTTTACATATTTTCCATATGTAATTCCAGAAACCAAGCTTATGCATGTTGCCTACTCCTTATAGTGTATTTTGAAATTAAACAGTAAGTTGTCTCCACTGTGCTGTTGCATAATGTGTTATTGAGAATTCTCAGTTTTATAGCAATCCAAATTGCTAAATTGGGGCTGTTTGAGTTTCTTTGGTTTCTGTTAACTAGTGCATAGTGGTGCTTGTACAACTGCTCTTTTGCTTATCTTAATACTGTTCTTAAAGGTGTTATCTTTAGAAATGAGGGAGAAAGGAAACAGGTTTGCTGTGTGCTCATTTCTTTTTACATAGTGCAGGTGATAGTATGCACCGGGGTGAAGCATAAAGAATAAACGAATTAAGCAGCGATTGGCATTAAAATGATTTCCCATGATTAAATAAGGTGAAGTTGTAGTGGAAAGTGAGGTGCTTTGCAGTTGCTGCTTTTAGTTTAAAAAAAAAATAAAAAAAAAATCACAAGTTCTTTACGGCAAGAAGTTATTCAGTAAGTGATGACAGAAGAACTTGAAAAGTCAACTATGCTATGGTTGAAATTACTTCTTTTTAAAAGCCATTCTTAGATAGCTCTAATGCTGGGGAGTACTAAGTTTCTTTGATGATTGTGACTCTTCTGAAGAAAAAAAAAAAAACAAACAGAAGTCTGAAACAAAATATTCTAGATTTGAATATGCTAAAAAAAGCCTTATCCTTAAACTTCATAAATATCACCTTTAATGCAAAGGTACTTCATTTCTCCATGTAGAGCTAAATTATGTTGCTCATTGCTGTCTATTCCTCATCCATAAAAAAAATCATGGCAATGTGAGAAAATCTGAACTGTTTCCATAGAGTGCATAATGAAGGCACCACAAAAATGACTATATAAAAAAAAGTAACTAAGTCTTTCTCCGCAACTTTTCCCACCACAGATAAAAGTTGGTTTGGTCGTTCATTTATTGACCTTTCTTAACTGCAAAGCCTCATACTGGTCCATTGTAGTGCTGTTCAGCGCCTAGAACAGTCCCAAAGTCCTGATTCTGAGAATCACTGATTCTGACTCGTTTTCTGTCTCTCACTGGCAAATGTAGTACTGAATTCTGGGGGATATTTTCTCCAGTTTTGATATATTAATTGGCTGCAGCAAAAAAAAAATAAAATTAATGTGTGTGATCTTTTTTCATAATATCCCACATTCTGTAAAAAGTAATTTTGTTGAGCCATACATCAGAGGATATGGAAGTAGGCTGTCTGTCAGCCCTGACAGAGAGCTGCTTGGTCTCCAAGCTGATTAACAGATATCCATGGACAGTGCTAGTTCCAAGGCAGGACTTGATGATCTTAAAGGTCTTTTCTGACCTGGTTGATTCTATGATTCTCTGTCTTACCAGTAAAGTGGGGTACTTCAATTTGTCAGCAGTTCTCAAAATTTCTAAACTTTTTTTTATTGCAGGAGTCAAAGTTCAAAGAAACTGGAGTAATCACACCTGAAGAAGTAAGTATTTAGAAACTTTGAAATATATTTGGGAAGTAATGATAAATTTTAGTCAAAAGGACTGTATTTATCTCAAAAGTTCATGTCTTTACCAATTAATTATTGGTTTTTGAAACAGTTTCCACAAAGTGAAAGTTCTAAATGGCCTTTTTACTGTCCAGATGAAATAGAGCAACAAAATTCCTGTTAGATGACATTTGACATCTGAATATGGAATGCTTTTTTCCTATATTATGTCACAAGAAGCTTGTAAAGAAGCTCGTGATGGGTCAACAGCTCCATTTGTCACAGGAGTTCTGGACTCAAGCAGGAGTATATTGATTTTAGAAGTCTTTCCCATAAGCAGTTCAGAAGGGAGCTTGTATCTTGAAAGCTGTCTTTTGCTTACCTCACTTTTGTTTCCTTCGAAGGCTCTGGCTAAATCATTACAAATGCTTGTCCGCACCAAGTATCCAATGATTACTATTTTTTCCCTCCTTTTCTCTATAGCTTACTCCAGGCTGGTTGTATTTTGGCTTGCTGCCAAGCAGTAGTAGTTTTTTAAGGAGTCTTCTGTGAAGAGAAAAAAAGAGGATTTTTCTCTTTTTTTCTAGAATGGTAAGAACACTGATTGTACAGTGCTATTTTGACTTCGCCATTCTACTTTTTCTCATACTAAAGTGTTACTGTTCTGAAAATACATTGTCTTCACAGAGGTTTAAGAAAATTATGTTAAAACTGTTAGGTAGAATGAAAGAGAAATGAGGTAAAATGTACAAATGTGAAGATGAGATGGAAAAAGATGGAACAAATGGTGACTGATGCAGGTACATAATGTGAACAGAAGCATTTTTCCTAACTTTAGTACCTATAGCATATTCCTGCTGTATTGCATGGCAAGCAAGCAAGCAAGCTCAGAAAAACAGGCTTAGCAACATGATGTTCTGCTGTTCGGATAACCATATGTGTGTGTTAGTGCATATAGATCTTTCTATGTTGTATATTACACAATAATAGATTTACAATTTATATTATCTGTGAACCAAATATAACAGAGAAAGTCTAGACAAATGTTCTACTAATGCTGAATCCCTTCTTGATCATGGGAGAGATATTTGTAGTAGTGCTGAAGGAAAAGGGTCTTTCTATAGAACTTAGCAAGAACCACATTATGTTACATTAAATAGTTTGCAGCATTTAAACATCCTTAAGAATGTGAATAGTGTGTATTCTCTGTATAAAGTTAGATTCTGATAGGAAGAAGAAATTGAATCCTTCAAAGAAGTAGTAAAGGGAAACAGTTCTACAGCAGGGTTAATTTTTTGTTAAATTTAGATGAGACTGAAGAGTGGATCTACTGATTGTCCCTTTGACAGTCTTTCTTTTCTGATGATTTTGGTCTCTATATAGTAATGATTGCTAAAGAAGGATTCAAAGCATTGATGTTGCTAGGATATTATCTTCAAATGACTTTGAATTTCTTGGTTAATGAATCTCAATTCAACTGTATTTTAGTTTGAGATGCTGTTGTATAGACTTTGTGGGATTCCTGTGGCTTGCCTCAGAAGATGAATCAGTTAGGAATAAGGCTAAAAGATGACTCATTATTCAAACTCAGCAATTGCTCCCTCTTTTTATATACTTTTGTGCTTGATTTAATTGCAATGAATTCTTGCCTATTCTTACTAGTTAATACCTCAGAAAGATAACATCTGTTTTAATTTTATATGTAAGTACAGGCAAATCTTAAAAATCATTCTTTCCAGGAGTAGAAGTAAGATGTCCTGAAATTGATGTCTTTTGCAATATTGGTTCAGGTATGAGATAGCATTAGTGCTTGAGAAATAGAAACCACCTAGGTAATTCTGCTGCCTAAGCTGAAGAATATGCAAATGACATTTCAATTACTGTTCTAGGGTTTTGCATCTATTAGAACCACAAACAATACTTTAATGTTTTTTTCATCTTGAAGAATATTTTGTAACATTGCTGCCAGTTGGTTCCAGTTCCTTGAACAGAGAATTCTAAATAATTCTGGAATTTCATATGTTGTTTATTACTGTGTAAAGGCTAATGAGTTTTAAAGTTTTGATGTGTATTGGGAGGGATTGCTGTTTTCTTAGAAGATTTTACTTCTGCTGGAGACTTCCGTTGGAAAATGGATGAAAGGAAGCACTTTTGCAGAGATTGAGTCTGCTAATCCGTATGCAGTGCGTGTTGCAGTGTTTTCTACTATGCTAATATGCCTCGCTTTGGAGGACATGGTGAGAAAATGGCTGACACACCACTACAACAGCTTCTGGTTAACTAAAAGTGTGTTGTTATAAACTGGCATTTTAAGACAAGAAAGCAACTGTAGCAATGGGTGTTCCTCTCATTTTCAAAAGTAGCTGGTGCAAAAGACCACACAAGTAGCTTTTCATAGGTGCAGGCCTGCCTTTCTCAATATATGCATACAAAAAGAAGCCAGTGTGTTAGACTTTGCTGGGTGAATTTGAGTTCATATGCAAGCCTTGCATAAGTTTTGCAATATCACTCTGAAGTAATTATAAAATTTTATAATTTTATTATGTAATTTTATAAAATCCTTTGCTGTGACATTAAGCACAAGTAGATTGAAGATTTTTTTAGAACCTGTTTCTTCAGAACAAAGTTATACATAAGGTTTTTCAAGGTATGGTTATCCTTATTCAGTTAATGCCAGTGGTGAACTATTACAGTGATGGTCATTACTTAAAATGCATACTGTTTATACTTTGTTGCAGTTCTTTCACCAATACAATGAATTAATGTCAGTCTCACTTTTCTTCTTGCTGCAAAATTGTTTTAAACAATTTTAAACAATTAAAAATTTTTTTTTTCTACATTAAGCTCTTCATTGTCTTTGCAAAACTTTGAAGAGTGGCAAATAAAAACATATTCTTCATCATAAAGTAAACAATGTTACTGGGTCTAGAAACTTTTTTACTTGTTTCCAGAGTGGTAGGTTATACCACAGCTTTTTAAACTATCTGAATTTGCTGTTATGCTTAGCACGTTTCCTTATGCTGAAGTCAATTTAGTCTTTGGGTTTTCATGGTTATCTGAGAAATTGAGTTAAAATAAAGCATCAAACTGATCTAAACAATTGCTAGTTACACAGTTAATCTGTCAAAGGAATGTGCAACTGAAATACTAATATTGAGGAAAATTGGAGATTGTTTCTTTAGGCTCTATTTAACAGGGCTGTTTTTTTTCTGGCCTTAACAGTTTGTCGCAGCTGGAGATCACTTAGTTCACCACTGTCCTACTTGGCAATGGTAAGTAAAATTAAAAGAATTTTAGAAAGTTAGTGTCCCTGCTATGCTTTGATGTGCTTCCATTGAATGCAACTATACAGTTGTCTCATTTCATAACAATACGTGGACTCTTTCAGTAGAATTTTTGCTGGTTTTATGATAAAGCTGTCTTTAAGGCAGGCAGGAGTTACTTATTGCTGTGTGTAGGAGTAGTTGAGATGAGGATTTGTTTGGGGATTTTTTGTTTTCCTAAGGTTTTAGAGGAAATAAGCCAATACGTACTTGAATGCTTTCAGTGCTTAGCTGCGGTAGCAGCATGTCTCCCTGAGTTTGTCTTGGTGATTAGTGATCAAAAAGTAAAGGCCACATGCACCTAAGTAGTTATAATTAGTATATTTTAACAAGCGTTTATTAATTGATTATGTTCAAGTTGGCCCACATCAGATCACTTTGAGCAGTGCTTGCCCTTGGAAATTCCTTATCTTTCATACACAATAAGGGTGCAAATAGGGTGATTCCTCATGTTCTACTGATGTCTTGCATTATAAAACTGAATCAGTTAGTGCCTGCATAAGCATTGTCTGTGCAGTTGATATCATCAAGCTTCTTGGCTCTGTACTGGGCCATGAATTGCTGAAGGAGGAATTATTATGCTTTAATCATTGTTTCTTGACCTTTTTACCATCTCCTTCAGAGAAAACATGATATTGAGTCTGGCCTATGTGCCAGCAGTTTAGATCAGACTATTTAGAATGTTGGTCTTAGTTTAAACCAAAAACCACTGAAGGTGAAAGCAAATGCTTCAGTAATGTGAACTTGGCAAAGGTTACTTGAGCTCTAATGACTATGGGCAGGTTTTATATTTATAGAGGTCTATTTCTTGCTTTTTCTGAAGTTGCTTTCTTCAGATATTTGGATCTCTATTGTTGATGATCTTAGCAAATTTTGTATAGACTAGATTGTTCCATCAACCCATCATTCCTTGGCCATCTTAAAGTGAAATTAGGTTTTGAAGCAGAAAATAATTTTGATCCAAGGTTCCATAGTTTAGGGGTGGCCAACTTTTTTGATCCCTCACTTACCTCAAAGTCTCTATGTAGGGAAGAGTAAAGTCATAGCAAACAGATTCTGAGAATAAGTGAAGAAGAGTATATAAAATGTTCCTGATATGGAGTGAAAATAGAAGGGTTCTTTTGTTTGCAGATCATCAAATTCTCAACCTTTTATGGTGCACTTCATTTTACAGGGCTTCAGGAGAAGAACTAAAAGTCAAGGCTTATCTGCCAACAGACAAACAGTTTTTGGTAACTAAAAATGGTAAGGCTGAAGTTTAAATGTAAGTGTTCTTAGGTTTGATAGCATGGTTGACTGTGCTATCAACTCTACTGATTGTATTGACAGGGGAAGCAAATAATCTTGCATTTTGAATGCTTTGGCTTTGCAGTATTAAAACAGCTTTTCCTGCACATCTAAAGTCTTTTCTGTAGACCAGTTGTTAGCAGGGCTTTACACTAGTAATACAGCTTGCCTTGATGAAGTAGAAATGTAGTTTAAGCACAATAAAACTCCTCGTGTGTCTTTCTCCTGTCCTTCAACTCATATTCCATGTCTAAAAGGACGTTGTTTATTTTCCTCTTTCAGAAAACTCAGACTATTGAAATGTTCCCAAAATGTTTTTCATGGTGACACTGATGCTTCTTGTTCAGATACATAATTACTGTCACTATTCCTGTCAATAACAACAAAATACAATTTTAAATAAAATTTTGATCGGCTTCAATGCTGTGTATATAGAATACGTGTGGTGACTTCATCTTTAATGGAAAAGACAGCTAACAAGCATGTGGAAATAATTTTCTCAAAAGATCTCAAGTCAAAATGTGTCAAAGATAATTCCATTAAATGAACCTTTAGTTTGAAGAACAGCCTGAGGAGATTTTTACCTGCAATGGATTGTATTTTGTGCTTGGCTTTCACGTGCTGGCTTTTGGAGTCATACAGTGTGCTGTCATTTGAAATTGCTTACAGTAGTGTTGGATGCTTTCCTAAGGTGGTCCTGATGGCTGGATGACCAAGTGATCAACTTTGTTTCTCTTCCCCCTGCCACTTTTTCCTCCTTTCCCTTCCTCCCCCTCTCCCTTCCTGTACTTCCAGGACCCTAATTGATCTGATCCTTCTATTTTGAAACACATTCCAAAATAATGTGTTTCCTGCTGATGTTGACACATTGGCCTGACACTCGAGTAAAAGTGGTGGGCTATGTATTGAGGCAGGGAGCCATCCTACAGATCTTATTTGAAAGTCTTCATTGTGACTTTCACACGCCTGTCCTCCCTTTCTGAAAGGTCTAAGAACAATTTACAAGTTCTGCACTTCATGCAGCAGTGGAGTTACAACCCCCCCCCCCCCTTTAGTCTAATAGGAGCATTTCTTAGATTGTATTTGTTTATGATGATGGAAAATGTCTGTTTTGCCTTAATCAGATCTGCATTTTCTCTTTGACTGTGTTCTGAAAACTTTTTATAAATCTGAACTCATATGGCTCTGTAATGCATATAACTGAAGTTATTTAGAATAACATGAATTCTAACCTTTTCTAAACTTGTATGTGTTAATTTATAATTAAACATACCTAATATATAAATAGGTGTTGCAAACGTTTAGCAGAATTGTAAAGACAAATCAGTTCAGTAAACTGATGCTAATCCAGGCAAAATTATACTCAAGATAGAAGTTGCTTAGCAATATGAAGAAAACTAATAGGTTGTCTCTAGTTGTTAGCAAATGAGAAGTTAATTATTTTCTAGTTCGTAAGAATTTTGATGAATGTGCTCTAATGGGTTACAGAAGAATGAACTTTTAAGTGTTGTACTGTATATGAAATAAAATGTGGTACAGCACATCAATGTAATTTTAAGTTCATGCTTTTGCATTTGAAATACAACTTAAGGATTCCTTAAATAAGGATATATGAGAGACATTTCAGAAATCCCTGTAGGATAATTTCTACTCCAGTCTGGTTTTGTATAGGAATGACTGCACTCATTTTGTTTTGCAATTCTTTTGCAGTGCCATGTTACAAAAGGTGTAAGCAGATGGAGTACTCGGATGAGCAGGAAGCAATTATAGAAGAAGATGATGGTGATGGGGGATGGGTAGACACTTTTCACAATGCAGGTATTCAGCCTTGCTTCAGGCTTTGCATTTGGTAATCTGAAGTATTTTCAGTTTCCATTACTAGAAAGTAAAGTCTGTCTTGAATATGTTATGCTGCCAGCCACCCACTTGATTGGTACATGACTGCTCAATATTCTCTTATAAATGACCTGTGTAGTCATGTGTAGACACGTTCCTTTGTAAGATCTGTGAAGAGAATGCTGGTTTAAACTATTTGTTTGATCAATATGCAAATTTTTTTTTTTTTTTTTTTAAGATTGCTTGTGAAACACATCAAGATCTTTATCTTAATGATGACCTCAACTGACTTAATTATTTCAGTGTTTCCCATTTTGTGTCAGAGCAGAATCTTACTATGCATCCCAAACACTACTGGGTGAAAGCAGCAGTAAAACTAGAAGGCTAATGGGAAGGAACTGAAGAGTTGATACTATGATTTGGGATGGTTTTTAACTCCAGTTCCTTGCTTCCAAGATGTTTAGAAATACTCATAAATGCATGCCTTGCTCATGAAGTTGAGTTCTGTAATTGTGAGATGCCTATCCTGTGAATGCCTATCCTGAACTCACTTCTATGAAAGTTCATTAAAATGAAAATTACTTTGCAGTGTTCCATCAACAAAACCTGAACGATGTGTGAGAACTGTGCTTTTGTGCTCTGTGTTACTGGTATGGTTTATGCATGTCCAGCACCAAGCATGCTACCAATACCAAATACACAGCCTTTGAAGTATCAAAATTGTTGTGAGATGTAACTTGAAAAGATCATACGCTGCTTTCTGAAATCTTGGCAGCCTTTTTCTATACTGTAATAAAGAAAAAAGCTTTCATAACACAAACCTCTTTTTCAATTAACAGGTATAGTGGGTGCAACAGAAGCAGTTAAGGAGATCACACTAGACAGTAAGGTATTGTCGTGGTTTAAACATGGTTCTAAATTTTCCTCTTGCTTTATTTCAGGTAATAGAAGTCTTACCTGCAGCAATCTAATACTGCCCGTGAAAGATTAAATTATACTTTGTCACTAGATGTGTTACAGATACATAGTGACTTTCAGAGCCCATGATTTTAGTCAAAGCATGTGCATCTCCTTCTGAGAGGTGTTTACTGAGGCAGTGTTCTTTTTGGAATTCCTTTAGCCAGTATGCTCTTGTGCCAGGCATCTGCTCATTGAAAATGAAGGTACTGCTTTTTCACAAGTCAGTAACATCTGGGTGGAAGGAATACCTAAAGATGATCACTATTTCTTCAAAACACAGTACTTGTAGGATCTCATTGTAATTCGTAGCTGCTGTTGTGTGTTACTAATTGAATTTCACTTCTGGTATGTTGTATGTTAAAAAATTTGCTTATTGTACAGCTTGGATCACAGGTCCAGTCCAGAAGGACAACTCTCTGCTTATGTTCTATTTGCTAAAGCACTTCACAACTTAGTTTCTTACTGGTTTTGATGTTTTAGTTTTCTAATGAGGAAACCTGCTACCTGATACTTAGCAATTGGAGCAGCTTTCATGAAACCCATGTAAATCGAGACCTCCCCCTTCTGAATTTCATTAGGGTTGTCTCTTGGGTTCAGATGCTGTGCATAGGCCCACACTCCCTAAAAGAAAAGGTTGGCTGAGGGCTTGGGCTAGGACATACAAAATCGTAATCTGTAGATTAGTCGTAGCTGTTCAGTCATTGCCTTTCGTTTAAGATGGGTGGGTTTTTGAAAACAGTTACAGGCTGTTTAATCTCTCTTATTTTTCTTTGCTTAGCAATTAACTCATTCCAGGTTACAAAGTCAAATGAGAACTTTGAAAATGGATTTTTAATGTCATATTAGGACTTTGAAACAGATTGGTTGATAAGCAAATATTTGAGTTCAGTATAGTCCTTAATATTGCAGAAATTATTTTTCTGTTTCAGTGTATGTGCTGGGGCTGTAAGGCTGTGTAAATGCAGTGTCATTAAAGCAGTATTTTCAATTTAAATTATAAAGGAAATTATAAATACAGCAGATCATTCAGCATCTTGTGAAGATGATGATGATGAAGATGAAGGAGAAGCTGCAGACATGGAAGGTATTTCCTTAAATCGGGTGGGACATGATTTATGTCAGGCCTTTGACTACAGCAGTACACTCTAAGAAAACACTACTCTTTCTTTTCATAGAATACATGCTGAAAAATTCAGCAGAAACGTGCTCTTAATCATCTTTTGTATGGTCTTATTGATGCATGTTTACTCTTACCTTGTGTGCAAAAACATGCATGAATGTTTTTGACCTGGAAATTAATATGAGTAGCAGAACAGAGCCAAGCAAGTGTAAATTATGGATTTAATACAGCTTCCTTCCGCTTCATATCCACACTTAACTGCAATCTACCTACTTAAAACCACTTGAGGATTGCTAATCATGTACTTACTATAGTCTTGATCAAATTTGTATTAAAAAAGGTATAGTCTGGTTTGGGGTTTCAGAAGTTTACCTGTATTAAACATCTTTAGATACATGTAGAATGTTTTAAAGGAGTTGTTTATGAATGAGAAATATGATGACTAGCTACAAGCTGAACACAGAATTTTATGGGTCTTCTTTTCAGAGTATGAAGAGAGTGGGCTATTGGAGACAGATGATGTGAGTGAACAGTTCTCTATCTTGTCTGTTGCAATGCTTATTACCAATATGAGCGCAAGCAAAGTAAAAATAATGGTAACGCAAATGGATTATATAACAAGCTTGTTATCAGCAGTGGGATTACTGAGCTTGGTTTCCTGTGTATTTGTCTCCTGCCATCCTATTGCAGTAACCTTAAGTCCTCAAAGATTTAGATCAGTCATTTTGTGATTTTTTTTTTTTTTTTTTTTTTTTTTTTTCTGATCCTTTTCACTCTACTTACACACAATGCTGTACTCGCAAGAGGTAAAAATACACAATAATTCTTGAGGCTTATGTGTGGAAGATGAGTGGCTTACAGGTTCAATAGATTATGCTGATACATCAGACTGTCATGAGAGGAAAAAAAGTGTTGTTGTTCCTGGTGTTCCACTAAGGTCTTCATAAATGCATAAACTGAGACCTCTGCCTTCTGAATTTCATTGGAATTGTCCCTTGGGTTCAAAAGTTATTGGTGAAAGAAGAGGTTGGGGGGGGGGGGGTGTGACAATGTAATTGCATTTGTAGTTGCAAATTAGACCTTTCTTAAAAAATCCTCACCAAAACCAAAAAGTACTTGGTGGGAGACAAACTGATCCAACTAATTTAAAGATAAAAACAAAACCCAAAAGCCTATGATTTTTTTTTTTAATGCTTGCTTAAGAACATTAATTTCTGCTTTAGAGCTTTATATAACTACTTAGGATGAGAAAGGAGGAAATCCAAACAAGACTATACTAATGTCATTTTTACCTTGAACCAGGCAACACTTGACACAAGACAGATCGTAGAAGCTAACAAGGCTAAAGTTGATGTTGGAGGGGAAGATGCTATTCTACAGACTAGAACTTACGACCTCTACATCACTTACGACAAATATTACCAAACTCCAAGACTCTGGTTATTTGGATATGATGAGGTATAGGTCTGTCGGGTTTTTATCACGTCTGTAAAATTAGACTTGTGGTATCAAATAGCAACGCTTTTTTTTTTTTTTCTTATTCACAGTAAAAATTGAAATGAAAAAATGGTTACAAAATCATTATATAGTCAGGGTTGCAGACAGGACTTAGGATACTTGCTGGAAGTAGGAATAATTTCACTGGAAATTGTACTTGGTGATGGAGCATTTGGAAGGAAGCAAATCATGCTCTGTCACTTGACTGAGTTAGCTCTGTAGAGGTAGTAATAGCCCTAGTAAACTCAGTCAAATAAGCAAGTATGTATTTTCATGATCTTCAGAGGGAGGGGATTAGATAAATCACTCTCCCTTTCATGACTAAGTTTCTTGAGTTAAAGTTGGTTAGGGCTTACAGCTCAAATACCTAGATGGGAACCTAAGTGGGAACCATTGAGATGGTTCTCAAAATGTATTGACTTTACCATTCATACAGTTTATTAAAAACTAAATTTGTTTAGTACTATTCTACACCATATGGATCTTAAGACACTTGGTTCTTTCCTTCAGACCTGTTTTATATTAGATGCTTATAATTTATGGTGCTTGATCTGTTAACAACGATGTTAAAATTGCTAAGAAGAAGCAAAAGACTCTTTGCTAGTAATGGTTTTGTTCTGTTCCATTTTCCTATATAGCAGCGGCAGCCTTTAACAGTAGAGCATATGTATGAAGATATTAGCCAAGATCATGTCAAGAAAACGGTAACCATTGAAAACCATCCTCATCTTCCTCCACCTCCCATGTGCTCAGTTCACCCATGCAGGTAAGTCTTTGTTTCAGGTCTGATTCAGTATGTAGATAAAAGGCACTTCACTGGTCTTGTTGTGGATTTGGTTCAGGTTTTCTGGATGCTTCCGCAGTTGGCTGCTGTAGTGGTGTGTCAACTTCTGAGGTAGTATGAAAAGAAGATCTTGGTGACTCCAGTGCTTACTGCTGCGAGTATATTCTGCAGTTATAACTGTCTCCTCTTGCTCAACTTACTTTTCCTCCACTTCCCTATGGACTCCAGAAGATGGCAGACTACTAGAACTCTATAAAAGGAATTTCTTCTATACTTTATTTGCTGCTATTTTTGTGAGGATAAAATTATAATGTATACTTTGGGAGCAGAAAAAGCTATTTGAACATGAAATACCTCTTTATTTTGTAATATCTGCCTCTTGCTCCCCCAGAAGTCGCTGAAATTTTATACAGATAGAGGTGTTCTAATTGCTGTGCTGAAATGCTTGTTGAACACAAGTGCAAAACTCACGTGTGTTTTTAGGCTTTTCTCTGTTTCATTTGCCACATTTCTCACCCAAGACGTAGGGAGTCTGTAGTTCAACTACCTGCAGTGGTATTTTTTTCCTAGGTCTTTGAAAAGTGCCTGTCATGTTATATGTAAAATCCTTTTAGGTGTCTTAATGATACAGAGCCAATATCTTAAATGGTGTAACTCCTCAGCTTCTTGATAGCGTGAAGTTCTTAAGAGATAAGAGTTTTGGCTTCTATCTCTTTTTAAGAAGAGAGACACTCTTCGTAGTCTTACATAGGTTAATAATAATAAAAAAAGGTCCAAATTGCCACTTTAAGTCTTGTAATTTCTTTTGACTTAAAGAAACACCTTTGGGATTTGTGTCACTAGCTGAGGTGTCAAATAATCAGCTTTTTCACAAGTTTATGGTAGTTTTTGCATACTCAAGACATTCTTGTTTCTGGTTTACGAATTACTTGATCGTAAGATTACTCTTGGTAAGGGTATACTATTCTTTAGCGAGAGAGCAAGGGAACTTTGCACCAAGGAGTTTATTGCTACCTTTGGTGGTCTTATGAGGATGCGTATTCATGGACTTCGTCAGTGTGTATCTCTTGATTCTTCCAGTTCATAGTTCTTTACTGCTTTACAACAGTCTTTGCTTTCACCAAGTAGTCAGGCTTGTATCTGGACAATCTGAGCAGAGAAGCCATTGTACAACTGGGAAATAGCTTTTTTTCACAGTTAGTGGACTTACAGAAAATCTAAAAGTGGTAAGTTTTATTGTTGGTCTTTAAATCATCAAGTTTAAGTCTACACTAATACAGTACAATTTCCACACCCGTGGAAATGTCAGTCTCAGAGCTAGGAAAAAAAAACCACAACAAAAGAATAGAGCAGATAACAGCATAATGCCTCTGCTAATATGTGGTACCACCTGCATATTGAATACTGCAGTACAGCTCTGGTCATCTGTTCTGTAATCTGTGAGGTGAAGGAAGACTAAAACTGGAAAAGATACAGAGGGATTATCCAGGATAACTGAGGTTATCCTTTTTTCCCATAAGAAATGATTGAATAACCTGGGACCCTTCAGCTTTAGAAAGGGCAGCTGAGGAGGTTGTTACAATTTCAGTGACCATCATTATGAATGCCACAGAAAGTGAAGTAATGAGTGTTCTTTTGTTTTTTTTTTTTTCTTTTTAGTAGTAAACTGGTGACATTGAATGCATGTGACATGGTGGCATGTTCAAAGCCAGAAAAAGGATTAAATTCTGCACACAGCACATATTTAAACTAAGTATTTATTTAAGCAATATGATGTTAATGAAAGAAAAGTTTGTCAACAGTTGTCACAAGGGAAGTTACTAGAATGCTTCAGAATTAGAAAGTCCCCAGCTTGTACACTGCTGGAAACTAGTACTTTGGAGGAAGCATTACTAGGTGCTTCCTCTGGTCTCTTTCTTGTATACATACTCTAAGACAATAAGGAGGACAAGGTTTGGTCTAGAAGGTATTATTGTACCTTATATTAATATACCAGTCTTAATATGTAAACCTGTTAGTGACTTTGAGTGTCTCATTGTTTGCTGTCTGCGTTGTTCTGGGCAGAAAAATGGATGCAGCATTTTGTTTTTGAACGAGTGTCGGCATGTATCTAGAGAGACTTAACAGACTGACTAGGAACATGATTTATAGAAGAAAAGGAGGGAAAAAAAGCCTGAAGCCAAGGCTTGATTTAGTGATTGCTGGAAGTCCTGCTAATAAATCAGTTGGAAGAAGCTCATGTAGTGGATGCAGGCTGGGAAGATGTTCAGAAGAAACAGAGATGACCAGATATTTGGGTGTGGCTGACTAGGTAGGCCTGTGGGTTTTATAATGGGCTGTGGCTGCAATGTAACCTGTTTAATTTTGCAAACACCTCTGTAGAGTAAGAACTTATCTAATACTAGACTGTGAATCTGGATTGAGAGTCTTCGTGGATGAGAGCTCTGTGTGCATGTGTCGCTTTCCTTCACTTCAGACAGTGAAGTGCCAGTGTCTTTGTTATGTAGTCCACATCTACACTTGAAGAAATGGTTTGCATTGTGAGACTTGTTCCATTGTGAGGCTTGTTTCCAAGCTTGAAAGAGGTGTAGATACTGTGGTGAGACTGACTTGTTGGTAGCCTTAAATGCGGAGGAAATTGTCTAGTGCTTCTCAAAAAGCAAACTGTTTGACTGGCAACTGCTTAACATTGGAAAGGTTTGAAAAGGTCGTCTTGATACTGTGAAGAAAGAGGCCAACAGTATATCTAAAATGGAGGATTTAAGTATGTTCTCTTACTCTCTAAGGTGAGCTATTTTGTTAAATTGTTAGGCTAATAGCTAAGAAGGTCTGGGCTTCTGAGGTGAAAAATAGTAAGCAAAAATGTTGGTTTGTTCTTAATTTAGCTAGGAAATACCACTGCTTAGCTCTGCTGCTATTGCTTCCATGCATGTCACAAGAATTGTGTAATGTCGGATATTTAGATGGTCCTAAACTTGGTTGTTTCTTGTGACGTGTACATCACTGTGTCATGCGTCAGAAAGGAAACAAACAGCAGTTGTGTGCTACCATCAGCTGCTCGAGATCGCTCCTATTTTGAGTAGTTGAAACTGTTCATCTTGCAGCTCTGCTGTAAGTTGTAGTTCCCGTCAGCATTTTTATGGTACTGGGAGGAACACAGTCAACTTCCTCATTAATTCATGGAAACTGGCTTAATTGCAATTCTCAACTTTTTTTTCATGTGGGTGTTATGAAGGGACTATCAAACTAGTTAACTACTGAACACATTTACATTTAGATCTGAATTACTTGCGCTACTTCCAAGCACTTATTTTCCTCTCTTTCAGAATAAATGGCAACAGGTTTCTGGACTCTTTTTAGCTCTTATGTACTCTCAGTATCTGCAGGGAAGTGACTAGAAGCAGCTGCAAGGATCAGCAAATTGTAGATCTTGAGGTTAACTGATTGTTATGGATTTTGAGTGTCTTGCCTGATGATAACATTTGTGGGTTATCCACACCTGTCTTAGTGTGTTTGAGCAGTTACAGACACTTAATTGAAATAATAGGGAACTTTTTTTCTTGAAAATATGCTGTCCTAAAACGTCTTACACTTTACTCTCTTTAATGGAAGCTTGATAGTTGTTATTCACTGCACTGAAAGTCCTCTGGAAGGCCTTTTATCTCTATGAATTGCAAGGGGTTGAGAGGGGCAGGAAAACTGATTCATTTCTGGTGGTGTTTTTTTTCCTCATATGTCAGGAAGGCTTCTATTTTTTACTTTTCTGATGGTATGTATTTCCCTTCCAGCTGATATTCAGTGTCAGTATGTCAGGTGTGCTGAACTCCATGTGAAGTTGTTAAATATTTTGACTGACAACTTTGGTCTGTTGCAAAGCAGTAAAGGGGTTCTTCAGCAGGAAAGCGGACATTCTTGATGAGAGCATAAAAGGTCATCTGATCAGTCTCAGAAATCAGTTTCTTTCTGTTAAAGAAACTTATTGTTAAACCCTTAATATATGGTTTTAATTCTGTGTATCTCAATTTATTTTCAGTAGTAACAGCAATATTTCTGACATAGAACATGAATAAGTCCATTACATTACTTGAACCACATCAAGAGTTAGTTGATTAGTTGGTTATGCCAGAAAGTAAATTAAGTGAGTTTAACAGATGTTTTAAATGTCTGATCTATTTGATAGCTCAAGCAATCTACAGACAGGTCCTGGAACAAGCATTTTAGTCATCTGAGAGTTATTTCTGGGGGATTTTTTTTTTTTTTTAACTTCTGAATAAAAGAGAGATTTCTAGACAGCAGGATAATTTAGATAACGTTTCTTCCAAAGTCATCTCATTTCTTTCCATTGGGAGGTATACATACTTTATATTAATTCCTCAAAATATTCTTACAGAAGGAAATTGAAACAGGAAACAAACATTTGAAAGTTTATAAAGCACCTGCAAATCTTTTCATGAGTATGACAGTAAGAATGACCAATATTGTGGCCATTATGGAATTCCAAATATCTAACTAGTCCTTAGAAAATTAAAAAGAGCAAATGTCATGCAGTTGTATGAATTTGAGCCAGTATCCTGTTAAAGACTTCTAATAGCTTGTAGGGTGGCCTGTGCCAGTACAAAAAATAGTCCACTGTTATGGGTAAGGTGGAAGCTTGACAGTCCAGGTTCCTATATAGAAGCAGCTGGCTATGGCACCCGATACATGGCATGTGTGCTGCAGGTTCATTATGAAGATCCAGAATTGGAATCAGCTGTGGGGGTCAAAGACCAACAGCACAGCAAATGACAGATGCTGACCTTTAGTATTTCCCCAGACTTGCATGTTCCTGTTCACAGCGTGTCCTGGTAACTTCGCAACAGCTTCCTTCCTTGTGTTTGCAGCCACTGGCAAGATGATTAACTTTGGAGGTAACTACTAAATGCCAGTTACTGGTCAGCTATTTAGATTTGCATAATGGTATCAAAGCGTGGTCAGAAAGTTATGCAACTTTGTCCTCAGTAGAATCATAGATTGTTTTGGGATTGGTATGTTAAACTACTGCTGTTAACTAGCTTGCAGTGTTGCATAGGTGGATATCCATAGCCCTATATGATGTCACTGATAAAGATTGCTACAGAATTGTGAATTTAAAACCAAGTTGGAGTCTAGAGAAAAGTAAGATGAGTTGTACAACTTGGGATCTTGTGTTAAATATGTAAATAAAACATCAATTAACCACACAGTAGTTCTCCCTTTTGATTTGATATGATGTTCATCCTTTGGTTTATGGGACATAATAAATACCCTGAACACCAGACCATTACTTCTGAATTGTAATTGGTCATTAAAAGATTTAAAGTCTTCATCACTGGAGATATTCAAGACCAGACAAAGTTCTGAGCAACCTGTTCTGATTTACTGCTCATCAAGCAAGGAGGATTGGACTAGATGATGACCAGTCTCTTCCAACCTTAGCTGTTCTGTGATTCTGTGTTATATTCCCAGGAACAGCTTTGTACAAAAACGTCATGTGGTTCAGTTTTACAATATCATTTTTTATGTTTTACAGTAATGGAGTTGCAAGAGAGAAGCTTACTTAGAAACTGTTGATCTGCCGTGGAACCCAAGTTACCGCCAGAGAAAGTTTCCATACCCTGTCAGTCTCAGAGCAACAATTCTGAATTTATGCAGGTTTAGCTTAGCCTGCCTCTCCTAGGAAACTACAAATTGTTTAAATGTTCGATACCTCCTAAGCTCTACAAATTTAAGAGTACAGCAGAGCCAGCTAAATAAGTTGCAGCAATTTCTAGGTATCTTCTTCAGAGGTCACTTGGGAACTTCTGGTGACTTGCTGCTGGTGAGGATTACCTGCTAGGGGCATACCTGGTGGCTTCTTTGGTATTTAGCAATTAAAAATAGCACTAGTAACAAGCAATATATATTTGCTATTGTGGCACTCCATCTACATTGTAGCATAGAACATTTTTCATTTCCCTTGTGAATGTAGAGAGTTGGCGAATAACTTTACATTCATCATGTAATACTACCTTTCAGTTACTGTTGGGATTTTTTCGTCAGCAAACTGAAAGGTTCCTCTTGCTGCTTCTGAAGCTAACAGTCCAAAACTATTTAACTTGCACAAAACCTAATCTTACTGAGATGAAGAGAAGCTTACTTTTTCCTTAAAATATTTCCACTGTTTCTTATCTGTTTTTCAGGCATGCAGAAGTCATGAAGAAAATCATTGAGACTGTTGCAGAAGGTGGGGGAGAACTTGGAGTTCACATGTATCCTTTTTCATTACTACGTGATATTTTCAACGATTTCTTGTATTTAAGGAGCTGTTATCTCAAGGTTCCTAAACTGGAATGCAGTTGTGTGTGAAAGCAGTAAACGACTGCTTGTGGTAGCGCTTACTAAAGTTCTGGGATTAATTCCTTTGTGCAAACAAGCTCTGTTAATCAGTTCTCAGAAAGTAGGTGGAATTGAAGGGACAGAATTGAGCCCTTGTTTTTAGGGGTGTGAAGCTGTGAGTATAAAACTGAGTATGAAACTATGATCCCAGGGGAGGATGAAGCTGGAGGTTTACAGACTCCAGCCAGAGTATAATCAGTCCTCTTGGTACAGCAGCTTCTGTATTAGATTTGAATCTGAAATTCATTTCTGAAAGATGTCGAGGTCCCATTGTTCTCTACTCTATATGTGAGCAATATGTTGGTAACAACATTCAGCTGACAAAAAAGCAATGAAAATCTACTGAAATGATTCTTGATATTGAATGCCTCACAATTAGAATTTTCTTTTGCAAGTTGACTGATCTTGGTTATGCTTTGTAGTAATTGATCCCACGCTTTCTGACTAAAGAAACCTCCATGTTAGGAGAAAATGAAGTGTGTACTTTCAAAATAATGTTGCTGCTGTAAGGCAGGCAAGGGAGCATTACTGAGCAGCTGCGGGCCCCGAACAAATAATATTCTCTGTATGAGTTGAGACTTGCTCAATTTGTGCAGCAAGCAGCTGAAACTGAACTGGAAAATAACTTTTCTATCAAGGTAGTTCAAGTCTTCTACTCCTTAGTAGTTAGAAATAACTTATTTTCAAGATTTTTGGTTACTTTTTCTGCTATTGCTTAACAAATTGAGATTATTTTTTTTTTTAACAGCCAATTCTTCCCTGGTTTGTGTTTGTCAAGAAATGGTCCATGAGACTGACATGCGAAAATAGTAGGGTTTACATATGTCCAGTACTTAACTGTCGGCTGAAAGTAGTGATTTATTTTAGTTTTTACTTTGCTGTCTGCCTCAGTCCCAGGTGGACAAACACTTCATTTTATAATTACTGTGTATACCCCACACTGCAGATTCAGGCCCAACATACGTTTGAAGGTAACATACACAAGGGAGATTAGGAAAATCTCCTCTACAAAGGCAGACTTCTTAGTTTAGCAAAGCTATCTCTCCACTTTCCCTCATTGACAGGTAAGATTTATTTCAAAAGACAATTCAGAACAGGAACCTATTTCTTTTTCTGAGACACTGAGATGCTGAGGAGGAGCTTGCTTTCCCTACAGCTACACAAAGGTAGCTAGGGATTAGCCTTCCCAGATTTAACTCACCTTGACGTTTGTTAATTACAAACGTGAAGTGTGTAAGTGGGATTGTAAATGTTTGTGTACTGTTTTCTAAGATCTGTTGAATATAACTCCTGGTTCTCTGCTTCAACTTAAAACAGGAAAGTCTGTTATGTTTGGGCAAGCATCAGATGTCATTACCAGAGTTCTGCTGTATTAATTTCCCAGTCTCTTAACATTGTAATTGCTAGGTGTTATTTTCCTACCAGCAAGAAATAGTGTTGAGCAGACCATTGAATGTGACTTTTTCTTTCTTTTACAGGATTTCTATCTATTGCATGTTTTCCTTAACAAGAAACTCAGGTACCTTCTTATTTTCTTGAAATTTGTACAGGCAGTCATTCCAACGATAGAATATGACTACACAAGGCACTTTACAATGTAACTAAAATAAGAAGTGTCTCCTCTAATTATCAGATCCTTTTTTAAATAACCCATCCATGTGACTTATACAACATTATACATAATTTCTGTAACTAACCTTTTATCAAGTTGATGCATTAAAATAAAATGTTCCATTACCAGCCTTTTTAATAAAAATCTTTGTGTGTAATATAAATAAATCACTTTCATTCCTATACAGACACTGCAGTAAGTGGTGGGATTTTTTTTCTCCATAATTCCTTCAGTTTGCTTTCAACAGAAGACTGTTTTTTGTCTACATTAGAAGCTAAAATCTACTTTCCTAGTAGAAGCCTAATGCTTTTGGCTTTATTGTTGATTCCTGAAAATGTAAAGATTTTATTATTATTTTTTTATCCCAGTTAAATTAACTTGAGAATTATGTGGGTTTTTCCCTAGTTAATGAATGGTTATGATTCCTCTCGCTGGAGGGGGATTTAGAAAGCTGAAAGAATATAAGTGATCATCTTGTAGGAAAGTTTAACTAGTATAGCTGTAACTAACCAATCTCTAAAAAGTGATTTAGATTTACACTTCAACAAGAGTAGTGTTTTGGGTTGGAATTTTTGTGGAGACAAGGAGTAATATTATTAGTATGTAGTCGTTCATCTTGTAATAAAGGCAAAAGCAGTCTTATTGACAGAATTGCATCTTTTGGGTAAAAAGAGAAGATTGCTATGGTAAAGCAAGGTTCAGTCTTGATTACATTCCTGCCTCAGCTACACTAGCTGGTAGTCCAATAGCATAATTTCCTTTTGGGGGTAAATATACATGGAGTTGTTTATGAATTCAGATTATTGCAGATGCATCCAGGCTTTAGCAGCTGCTTTCTGCCCTGTAAAAAAGTCAGTTTTTCATTGATGAAAATGTGAGGAAAGGACCATCATATATATATGTGTGTGAGTGTGTGTATTTATATTTATTAGGTTCACTTAAACTCTCTTTAGCTTTCAGGTCTCCCAAACATCCATCTTGCATTCTGCAAGGTAATCCAAAATTGAGAGTCTGCAAGTGACTGAATTTACTGTTGGATGGGAAGGTTGGTTCCTGTCCTGACACAGCTGGTCCCCATCTTGACTTTCCTCTGTACCATGCTCTTACATGACAGAGTGTGTACTATGCTTAAACTGGCTTTCCTCTCTTGGTATCTATCTTCACTTCCTCTTTCTTAGACAGTATCTTAAGCAATGTCTATGTAAGTGAAGAGTAATGCAGCTGAAACCTGTTAAAGCTTAACCACACCCACTGAGTCATGCCATAGGATTTTCCCTATCAGACTAATCTCCAGGATGTTTTGGTCTTTTGGTAACAAAGGAAGTAGTTGTACTCCACCCAACAAACAGGGGAGTTGGAGGGGAGCAAAAACAGATTGTGACCTAAAATAACCTACACTGATGCATATTTTTTTCCTTTGCTCTGTCAGAATCTTTTGAAATATCATTCTTCCTAAAAGTTGTCTGTCCTCTTTTAGGAAGATTAATTAGTCTTTCACTGGGATCTGGTATATTAACAAATACCACATTTTAGTTTGCCAGGCTGTTGATAGAAGTATGTGGCATGATATGTGTATATATTTTTTTAACTACAAACTGATAAAGGCCTTTTTCTCTGACCCTAGCAGAAAAACAGGAGCAGCAGAGCTGAAGAGAGCTTGCTAGCAGCTTCCATCAGCACCATGATATTTAATGTCTTACGGCATTTGTAACACAGAAATATCTAGTATTACAAAACCTGATGCTTGGTGACTAATATGTGCAGCTCTGCTTGGCTGGATATCAAAGTGGCTTTACTGTGGCAAGCAAATTTGAGCTGGGTGCACTTGCAGCAGTTGTAACATATACTAATCCTATTCTGTATTAAAAATTCCTGTTAGAAGTGAAGATTGCTGCTCTGGGAACTGCTATAAACATATGCATTAATTGTCTCAATTTTGCCACTACATCAAAATGGCTCTTGAGAATATCTGCTCTGCTGGAGTCCCTTTCCTGCTATGCATCTTACAGTTCTTGTGGCTCTTTATTTGCTTTCTGCATCTCTATCTCTGGGTCTTGGGCACTGAGTACATTCTAATTTACAGGTGCTGCGTGCAGTGAAGACATGGGTGAAATTACTATTCTACTGAATCTGAACCAAAGTTACAGGGAATGGGTTATGATGCAAAGGGAGTAACCTTACAGAGATTTTAAACTAATGATCATGTCAAACTTAAGATACCTAGTCTTCAATTTACATGAAATACTTTTAAAATATTTAAAAAAAAAAAGACCCTCCTTCAATAAAAATAAACATAGGAAACTACAGCAGTAACTTCCAAGCAATATCTGTATTTGGCCTTCTAAAAGTCTAATCAAAGTCTAAATTATAAATAATGTAGGGTGGAAATAGTGTTAAAGAATGAGGGCAATTTCAACTTTGGCCTGCTGTGGCTTCATTTTTAGGTGTGGGAAAGTGGAGCTTGTTTAACCAGCTTGCAAACAAGCAGCCTGGTCCATGACTAGAGAGCTAGAATGTCATGAGTTTGTCTAGGTGTTGTAAAGGCTGTAGGGACACCTGCATTTTGGTCTTACCATGAATAGAAGCTTACTGATTTCATTTTTCTTCCTGAAACATACCTATCTGCTGCCCTACTGGAAAATAACCTTCTCTGCTAGTAACTTGTAAAGATTATTCTAAGTCTACTTTTTTAAAATAAAAAAAAAAAAACAACAACAACCAAACATGGGTGTAGAAACCATATGAAGGAAGAAAAAGTTAATTAATCCATGGCATTATACCTAATGTTGGAAGTAGGTATCTATGTGACTTGATAAGAGGCTCTCTTTTTTTGATAATCCAGTTCCAGCAGGGATTTATGATAAAAATATGGAAGTCTTCCTAGCTGCAAACTCTTGTGATCCTCTACCACCTGGTTAACATCGTGTTGCGGGCGCTGATAGTCTTACTACTGTTATTCTCTACAGAAAGCAAGCCACGTTGAATATACTGCTAGACTGACCTAGCACGAGGGCAGCTGGTCTGATTTAGCATGTCCATTTCAAGTCTGGGCAAATAAATATATCTCTTTATAAAGCAGACAAACTGAAACAGAGTGAACACAGGCGTAGTGTAGAGTATGAGCAAAATTCTTTGTGGACGCTAACTGAAAATTTTCTGACAAAAATTAAACACAGTGCGGGGTGGAGTGGAGAGGGGGAAGGCTTATTTTGGGTCAGGCCAAAATTTTGAGTCAGATGTTATTAATGTAGCTTTTGAAGAGAGGAAGCTGGTGTGTTCTCCTCTCCTTCAGTTCCTTAAAATGAATTCAGCCTAAAAGCCAGTGGTCTTTAGACAAATTTGTTAAAGCACTAAAATTCAATTTTATAATATTTAGAAAATTACTTCCTTTTTATTCCTGAAACTGTTTATTGAATTCAGCATTTCTGTGCAAATAGTTTTAGGTCCTACTAAATAAGTGGTTTTGGCAAATGTATTGACAGGAGAAACACCCAGTTCGAGCCAAGGACGCTTGCTTTTCTCCTAAGAAAAGCCAAGAGGTTTAAAACATGTGAATATGTTTAGGTTTAAATCAACATGATTATGCATCTTCTGAAGCCTTTAGTACCAAAGCAGTCTGAAATGCTGTTCTACATTCTTACTGCCTTGTAGCATATACATGACCACACAAGTTACAGAGCCTGCTTTCCTTTAACAGCTTTGCAGAATGTGTTCTTGTATGAGCTGTCATCAAGTACAAAATGCGTATATGTATTCCTTTCGAGTAAGTTCTTGTCTGAAAGAAAGTCTAAGTTTTCCTGCCATCTTTTCTTTTTGCCTGCTTCTGTGGTTTTCAACATAGTGTATCTATTTTAAACTTAGAACATGAGCCATTTCAAATTAACCTTTCTTGGCTTTAGTGCCCTTTTGCAGAAGTGAAGATATATATCTGATGGCTTCTGTTCCAAGTTGTGCCTGGAAGGTCTGGTAAGTGTCCCCTCTGTCTTTTGCCTACTTCAGAACCATGTGTTCGCTGCTGATCAATAATTAACTCCTTGTTTGCCCATGAAATCCTTTTGACCTGCGCTAAGCAAAGTACGCTTGTTGGACATGGTGCATTGATTTGTGTGTTTGAGAGAGATCTGTGCTAGGGCATTATTAGCAACCAATTCAGTAATTGTTTTACAACTCTTCTCAATACTAGGTCCCTCTCAGTCAGTCACTATAATACAATTGTTAAACCTGATGGCAACCATCAGGATATGGATGCCTGATACTATTCAGGATAGTGTTTGTGATGAAATGGAACCAAATTTGTTCTGGGTCCTAATCTGTAATTTGCAGAAAGCTGCAAATCACCACTTTACAGCTCTTTTTTTAAACTGTTGTCTGTTTTTGATTGCTTAAGCTCAGCCAAAGCTATTCAGGGTAAAAACCTGGCAATGATAGATAGTTTTAAAGGTCAGCCTTGGAGCAGTAGTCTGAAATATATTCTTTTAGTATGTTCTCGCATGTAGCATGATACATGTAGGAATCAGGACTATAATTACTGGGTGTCAGGACAGGCAGTAATCTTCCCCAGTTAGAAGATGAAGACCTGGTTTTAGTGTTACAAAGTGTTGCTTATGATTCTTTTTCCATGCTTCATTTTCATTTGGCATTTTAATATCGGTAGTACGTCCCGAAGATCCTACTTTGTTTTGGGAATGACATTGTTCATTGTGCTGCAGAGATTGTTTTGCCAGTATGGACTAGACTCATGCTCCTCCATGCATGGCTTTTGCCCACAAGATCGTTTGATGTTGCTGGTGACCAGATGTAATCAAATGTACATTTGAACATGTGAGAAAGCAATGAAGATAAAATATGAAATTTGCAGCATGTGCAGTGTTGTGAGGATGATGATCATGGCTAAATTTGTGAATAGACATAAAGTTAGATTGTCTTGGAAAACTTCAGCCTGAAGAATGTATTCTGTAATCACTTGTCATGTGACTAGTAGTGATAGCTTGCAGGCAATCAGTGCCAACTAAAATATTATGTGTATGTATTAGACTTTCACCATGTCAGAGGATATGATTGCAGATATTGGAAATTAATGGTCAGATGGAAGGGAGCAAGGTCTTTGGATTATTAATAATATTTTTCAAAACACAATGAAACTTCCCATAGTTTAGAGGATTCAGTGTTGTGCAATAGCTTAAAGAAAAGAAGACAAAAAAGAAAAATAACAATACACATGCAAAAAAAACCCCCACAAACCCACAAAACACCACCAACAAAAAAAAACCCAACCACAAACAAAAAACACACCACTGCCCGCAGGCTGACCCAGATAAATTCAGGCAGCTCCATCTCATATTGTTCCTTCATTTCAGGAAGAGGACAAAATAAGGGAGTAGCCAATATTGGACTTCTTGTTCTTAATGCATTAAGGAAGGGTGATACATGCTAATCAGTATAGCTTTATGCAAAGTATGTCTAGTTTAATTTTATGCTCTTCTTTAAAACAGTCAGTATTATCAGCCGCACTTATGAAAGTAATTTCACTGATGTAATGTGTTTTGATTCATTTTACCATTTGAATGGTACTGTGTGATTCACCTACTAAGAAATCTCAAAAATTCAACCTTCAAATTCATCGATATGGATAAAAGAGAAGTAACTGATGTCAGCTTTGATGCTCACAGTCACAAAGCAGGGGGTTTCAGCAGGTATTCTGGGTATTAACTTTTATCCTGCAATATTTTAGCCTTTTATTACAGGGAAGAAGTAAGCATTAAAAACCTACCTATAATGGAAAATTCAAACACTTAGTTAATTCAACAGAATCACAGAAAAACTTTTCTCAAGTGTATTTTAATTTCATCTCCGCAGCCAGTCACATAGGAATACAAAAAGGTCTTCAGATCTATGGGAAGGAGCTTTAGGAACAGCATTGTAAATCCCACTGGGTAGAGGTTGGACACAAACACAAATCAATTTCTGTTCTGATAGAGATGTATGATATTTTCTGTATGCTTCTGTATGAATTTGAAGACCTGGAGATGAGACAAGCTAAATTAAAATTGAAGATGGTTTATGCTTAACAGAGTGGGCCAGGAACTTCAGCACCAGCTGCTTAATGTCAGTTGTGGATCAAAGGAAGGAATTGTCCATCTGCCCAGAGATTTCTTTCATGAAATCTAGACTATAGGCATTTTCACAGCATCTGTCAAATTCTGAAGCACCAGCATTGAAATAGATCCTGAGCCAGATTGGGACCACAGTAAAAAATAAGGCAAACATAAATTTTACTTTAAAATTATTGAGGTAGTTTATTAAGGATTATGGTGAGTTCTTTAAAACAATAATTAATTAGTAATGAAATACTGTTGGACTTTATTTACCTAAGATTTTCTCTTCAGTATCAGTGCATGCATTCTGGTCCAACTTAATTGTTGCTGGATTCTTGGGTTTACATCCATTTCATATATAATGTGTCAAAGTGGCTCATGGAAACAAGTGATTAACTCCATATACATACAAAAGGTGATAATTAAAGTTCAGTATGCTGCCTTGAATCTCCTCCATGATGTCTGTAGTCTTATGCTGTCCAAGTGATCACAATTGTTTATTGAAAAAGTTGTGAACTTTTATCCAGGAAGAAATACGTAGGGATATTTGCTTTTCCAGTAATCCCCGTGTACAGGAAACGCTCTCAACAATTTTCTTGTTGTTTTGACAAACTTCTCAGCACTGGCAAAACCAGGGAAACATTTTTGGTGATACAGCTGACACTGGTAATTAGCTCATCAAAAGGTATTTTCCTAATAATTTCTTTTTGGATAAATGTCAACAGATTCTAATCAAGACTACATTAGATGGATTCTCACTATGGGCAGGTCTTCAGGCTGACCTATTAGCTTCCACTGAGAAGCCTGTTCATTATCCATTACCTGAGGTACTTAAGAGTGTAGTGGGAACCAAACAAGCTGATGCCGTGTTTGAAAGAGTTACTTACTATTACAAGTATGCAGTATAAGGTGAGCTGAACTAGATTTAGTTCTACATCCATTTCTAGTCCTCACACCTAATCCCTCAATGTTTTGCTTTCTAAGTGGGAATCACTTATTAGGAGATGCAGCATCTAACTGGGAAATTTCCATCACTGCCAGCCATGCCAGGTTTCTGTTTTCTTGGAAGATAGAAAATATGCCCCTCTTCTTCCAAACTGTGCAAGTCAAACATCCTCTAATTGTAAGTGATTGCTTCTGCCTCTGATATCCTGCTGCTTCAGTAGACAATGACTCAACCACAGCCTGTAGTGGGGCTGAAGCTGCTTCTTCTTGGTGCTTGTCTCTCACTGAAGATTGTGTGGAGGAGGGGAAGGAAGGTAGTTTAAACAGTTTATCTCTACTGGATCCTGGTCAGTAAGGGAGAGGCAGAGGTGAAGAGCAATGACCTGAACATAGCAAATGCTGTTACCCTCTTGCATCACAAATATTTCATTTCTAAGGGGAAGTTAGAAGCAGCAACAGCAATAAAAGCAGTGGTTTCTGCCTTGTCTTCCAGACCAGCATCAACAGGCATCTGTACCATGACACTCCACTGCATGTGCCTTTTTCTCTTCCTTCTGCTTGGTTCATGGTGGCCAGACTCAGAGAAGCATGTGGTGGGAGCAGTGAAGGTCAGGGAGCACTATATAGCTGCTCAGATCACTAGCTGGAGCTACAAACCGGAACCTGAGGAAAAGTCCAGGTAACAAAATATAGGACAATGACAACGAAACTAGCCCTCTCTTGTGACTGAAAGTATTTTCTGCCATCTCCTGTGGGATTCTAGAGCCCAGGAGGACTTTAGAGCCTGATCTGTTGACTTCAGAGAAACTTGTGTGACTTTAAACAGCATTATTTGGGCTGGAGCCAGTGAAGTATTAAAAGCTCCTTTTTATTTTTCATTAGTGGATAGAATTGCTTTTATGTATTCAGAGCACTTTTGTAAAGTATCTTCCAGGGCTTGCTGTGTCATCTTTTTTGTGGGTTGATGTTTGTTTTGGGTTGTTCTGTTTTTTATTTTTTATGTAATTGTTTAGGCATATAGATTTTGACCAATGTTAAGTTGAGCCATGGTTTGATGAGATTTCGAGAGCTTTCAGACTTTAGAGTTTGCTGAAGGAATAAATACGTTCCACTGTGGATACTATCACTTTCACTTAAACCAGAGCCCAATGAACTTTGGAACTAGCTATGTTGTTTCTGAGTTGCTCAGTAGTTTTTGTGGAATGGCTATCCTGAGTTCTGCTGGTAAAGTGTGTAGGATCAGGCATTGCTGAACTTAAGTATTTTTTTCCAGACACCATTGCAGAATGTCCATATGCCAATCAAGCATATAAATATCTTACTTGTATTGCCACTATTATCATTAAGATTATAAACACTGCAAGTGCAATGCTACAGATGATGGAACGTGATGTAATTTAGAAATCTGTTTAAATTAGGCTTCATTTTTATGCTGTGGTCACTGTAGTCACCATACATAGCTTTTATTTGTCCATGAAGTGGCATGAAATGATACAAATTACTTGTTCTACTACACTGAAGAGTGTACTTGGGAACTATGGGATTTTTGTATATTAGTGGATGGCTTGTTCATTATGGTTCAGTTTGTGTTTTTTATTTTTATTTTTAATATGTATTGCATTTCTGGATGTTACAGAAAGAACATTTCCAATTCAGATTTAGACTTTCTATCTATTCTTTTTTCAACACTTAATTAAAATGAAGTTTCTGTGATTTCTAAAACTCCACTTGGAAGTTTAATACAAATTATAAAAGCATAATGTCAAACAGGCAAGACAGAAGAAAATATGATTTAATATGAAGCCAAATGCCATTTAAGTGTTGACCTGGGCACGTGAATTTAGGAGTTGGAACTTCATTCTCATCTGTACTGGATGCATCGATACAAGCATCAGCTGCTGTTTCATTAAACATCACATTGTGTATAGACTGTTGAAACTCTTGATTAGGGTTTTTCATACACAGTGCCTATTGAGATAGCTCTCTTAAGTATTGAGAGTAAGTCACATCCTAAATGGGTCTGATGAACTTTGTAGAACATACAGAAATTCAACTCAAAACCAACCACACAAAGGGAAAAAAAGCCAAAAACAAGCAACAAAAAAAAACAAACAACAACCCACCCTCAAACAAAGAACCCCAAGCCACAAAGCTGCTCGCTGCGGCAGTTGGCTATGTAACTTGCTCTGATTTCAGTAGTAGCTGAACATCTAAATACAGTGTAGAAATCTGGTACTTTGCTGCATTGGTTCTAAATAACTGAAGCTGAAAAGAAAATGGGTTCTTCCTGAACTATTTCCTTAATTTTCCAGTCATACAGGCTAGAAGAAGACACTTCTAGAGTCAGTTGTCTTACCTGTGTAAAGATTTGCTACCACATGCAAGTGGTATTTATAAGACGCTTAAGAGCAAAATGAAAATGTATTATCTGTGCTTGCAGCGTTGCTGCTGCTGTTCCCAAAAGTTATGTAATTAGACCTGCTTGTGTAGCCTGAGATTTCCAAAGTGTTAGTGTTAGCAAGCTACGCACTTTGTTCCTTCTAGCTATACAATTTGCGCTGATGATCAATTTCCTCTTCCACCCCATAGTCTTATGGCATGTTCTGTTGAACATTGCCACATTAGGGCAACAGTTGTCAATGAAGTTTGTGAATTGGGGCCTTCTTAAAGAGTGGAACTAAATTTCATCAGTGTCTTTAAAGAGAGGGGAATGAATTGGTACACGAGGTGATTCTGCCCGACTTCTGGTGTCAGTGTTGCAGAGGGATTTACAAAAAACCTCTATAAAAAGAGGTCTCCCCCTTATGGGCCCTGGATGTCACTGAAGCAAGTTCACTGTGTTATTTCTGCCCATCCTCTCTGTGCTTGAGCAGCCCATCAGCTCCCTACTATCAAATGTGCCTGAGGGGGCATTGCAAAAAAGCAAGTGGGATTACTGTTGGATTCAGTCATCATACATACTGTAAGAAATCAGCCAATAAATGAGAAAGGCTATTATCCCTCCAGCACTCTTCTCATCATAATTTCCATTCTAGTAGTACTGTGTGCTGTTTTCCTTCTGCTTGCCTAAATATTTTCTAGGGAAGTGGTGTATGGTCTGCTTGCAGTGTTTCTCAAGAAGCAATTTTCTGACTTGCTGTGAGATTTGTAGTTGTCAGGGAAGTTTTGTGCTTGCCTTCAAGGGCATTGCTGCAACAGGAACTTGCTGTTAATGCTGTTGTAGAATCTTTGTGGTGATTTTTAAAGTTCAGGCATGAGGATGAGTAAATAGAAATCCAATTTCTTTCACTGTGTTTTGGCAGATGCTTTTTAGGTAAAGATGTCATGGTCAAGACATCTTTGTGTCTTAAATGGACGAAACAAAGACATCTTCAGAATCAAAAGGACCTACAGAAACCATCAGCAAAATCAGGGGTAAAGTGTGCTAGGTACTGTAATCAAATGTCCATTGTGAAGTGGCTTACCTCGTTAACATCATAGATTGAGTAGAGTAAGAAAGAAAGGGGAAGACACTACAAAGAGTCGGACTGTGTACCTTGCCTTCAGCAAAACATGCAAGTGATTAAATTTGATTCCAGGATTTGTTTTCTGAGATAATCTATTAAACGGCAATGGGAGTCTTTGTCCTTTTAATTCCTTTTTTTTTTTTTAACTCTTTGGTTTCAGATTAGAACATTCAGATCCAGTGTTTAAGAAAATTTCTTACAGAGAATATGAAGTGGATTTTAAAAAAGAAAAGCCAGCAAAGAAATTTGCAGGTAAACAGGAAGGAAATGTCTGAGTATGTTTGTTGCTTGTTATAAAGCCGGTTACGAGCTTGTATTTTTGTGTTCACTGTTTTTCACATAAACCAAGTAGGCACAGGGGATGAGGTCACTGCAGTGCACCAGGCTTTCAAAGGACATAGAGAGGTTGGATTTTCAGAGGCTCAGTGCTATCTGCAAATTAATTGCATGATACAAAGTTGCTCCCTTTGTTTTCAGCACACATTTAGGCAGGTATGGCACAGTCACAGTGGTGACACTAGAAATTCCTACGGAGTGAGTGTAAGGCCTAAGGCTAAACATTTTCTGATGAGTTGTTGGAAAGGAAAACTGTAAGGTTGGGTGTGAAAGATGTCCCCTTGACTTTGCATCTGTTACTGCTTGAAGATACTTTAAGTGGTTGGAGGCAAGTTCTTCTACTTATGCCCTACATAAATATAGTACTTGTGTTCTGGTACTTATGCAGAGTACTTATATAGTGTTTCTGTGTTTGCTATTAATAGATAATATAACTTCAGATACTAGATGTTCAGATTTAGGTTTCAAAGTAAATGTGTGTGTATGTGTATGTGTGTGAGGCTGGTTACAAGTTACCCTGAAAGGCCTAATCTGTGATCTGATTCCGTCCAGTTTTGTTCTCGGGTGTTACCTGAAACTGCTTTTTTCTTTTCAGAGAAAGAAAGTTACTAAATGGTTTACAAGAAAAGAGGCAAATAAGATGAAGGTTGTTTTAGCGTATCTCTTCCATTGCTTATTTTTGCAACATGGGGATAAAAGACCCTCTCGAAGCCTTTAGCAGGCAATGCCTCAATAAATTTGCAGCATGGAATTTTTATTACTTTAGGTAACACGGGTTTTGAAAGATCTTTTTGTTCTGTGACCTCTGGCATTGAGACTGCTACTCAAATGTTCTTGAATGCCTTTCCCTGAATTCTTAAACTATAAAATGTCTGCCTTCTGAAACTGTTAGTTGTGTGTGAATGATTCCTAGAAATTCCCAGTGAAGCTCAACATGAGCCTTTTGATAAATTTGCTGTATCTGGAAATAATTTTTTTTCTTTTCTTTTTTTTTTTTTTTACATCTACCATTTTCCTGTGATTTCTAAGTGCTCTTTGCCAGATACACAATTTATAACATTCCTGACTGTAAGTCTGCAGGTTTTAAATCCCCACATGCCTTTTTAAGCGTAAATCTTCATTGCAGTGATGATACATTCTCTGCCAGTATTAATTTAGCAACTTGTACTTTGAGAGTTCATGTTCCCTCAGTGGGAGGAGAAAACTTTGAATTTCACTAAACACACTGTTTTGCTTACATTTTCTTTATCGTGAATAACTACAGGACTTCTGGGACCAACTCTGCATGCTGAAGTGGGAGATACTTTAGTAGTTCATCTTAAGAATATGGCTGACAAGCCGGTCAGTATTCATCCCCAAGGCATAGTGTACAGCAAAAATGCAGAAGGTAAATACTAGAAAAAAAATCTGTGTTTTGTTCATTTACATGCAGACTACTACATGAAATATTGAGAAGGGCCCAGACCAGTGTTTGAGGATATGTGTAACACAAGTGTCTGTTGATCCTGGATTAAAACTTCACACCTGTTGTTAGCTCCTTTCTTGTTCATCAGTGTAACACCAGAAATACGAGTTTCATCTGACATGCACAGTCTCCTGACCAACTGCCTGTGTTCACAGAATCGCAGAGTGGTTAAGGTTGGAAGGCACCTCTGGAGGTCATGTGGTCCAACCCCCATGTAACTGCAAAATACTCTTTTTCCGGACATGAAAACTCTTAAATACAGGTCTAAAAGAAAAAAACAAACCCACAACTTTTCCAAATCCCTTGCAATAGCTTACATCAGGGCATTATTGATAAAGGCAGGTAACAGTGCTGATCATGTTGTTCTGATACTCAGCATTTCATTCTCAGCTTTGTGGTGTTTTGCTCCTGAAACCCTCATGAAACTAGCAGAAAGAGATCATAAACTGTGACCAAATTGACTAGCACAGTGAGCTTTCACATACTTCTTAGATTGCCCTGCCCTGGGTGCTGAGCTGGAGCGCTGACCTACAGTTCACAAATTTATTAAAGGCTTTGTTGTGTTGGTACAAAAAAAAGTTTTGTAACATGGAGTTGAACAGAACATCTTATTGCAAGGGATCAGCAGTTCAGTTTGACTATCTTTATAATAAAAGGCACACTATAATGTGCCTTCTGCACCTAGGATTCTGTCTCACCTTTGTCATATTGCTGATTCGTTGGATATGGTAGGTATACATATGAGCCATTACTGCCACCTGGATGCTCAATGCACAAAAGGTCTGAGGCAGCAAGGCAATGCTAGTCTGCCCAATGGTTTTATGAACTGGTTGTCAGAGAATATTCCAGGTGCTTTAATTGCTCTTTGTCTTCATGCCACTCTACTGACTGTTTTCTTGGCAGGCTCCCTGTATGATGACCGAACATCATCTGTAGAAAAACGAGATGATGCTGTGCTTCCAGGCCAGGTCTACACATATGTGTGGGATATAACAGAAGAAGTTGGTCCAAGAGAATCTGACCTTCCTTGTCTTACTTATGCATATTATTCTCATGAGAACATGGCAATGGATTTTAACTCTGGTCTGATTGGGGCACTGCTTATCTGTAAGAAAGGTAATGAAATGCTTTAAGCCTACTATAAAGTAGCATAGTTTCATTTCTTAATAAGGTTGTATGATAATGGGGAAGATATATTATTTTCCTTTCCACATCTTTACATGCACTGTACAGTAAATGTTTTTTAACATCTTTCTTTTTGATGTTAAAGTTTTTAAATGCCAGCTTTCATGCAGATCCATCCTAGATTTATAGAATGGACAGAGAGTGCTACTGTTAGATACGTTTGCCTGACCTGGTCGCATTTTCACTTGCTTTACTGCTAAATACATGGCCTTAAATTTCTTGCCTTAGAGCCTCTCATAAATAAGAATGATTACATTAACGATAACTGCTTCCACTGCCAGTGTCTCTTCGCAAGCTCCCAAATTTTTAGTTCATGCAGTTCAGGACAACATCTATTTTAGTCCTGGACTGTGTATTGAAAGTAGCAAATGGAAGTTTTTGATGTGAGCAGTCTACAGAAAGAACCAGTAAAATGGCACTTGTTCTGTGTGGCATGTCCAGAATTAATTATAATTGTTGATAGAAATCACACCTGTATCACAAACTCAACTAGATGTTTCTTATAACTGATCTAGTTCAGCAGTATTTGTCAAAGTTTATGTAAACGTTGTTTGCTGAGTGGTTGGCTTTATTCATTTTAAAGGAGCTGATGACCTCAGTATAGCTTGAAAAGGTAGTGTTTGCTCTGTAGGTGACTGTGCCATCATCCTTCTCCTTGCCTCGCAGTCTCAAAAGACTGACCAGTATCTGATCGTGGACAGACAGCTGTTTTAACACTCCCATTCATTAAGGCAATCCCTACAACATATTGCCAGAATAGTCTTGAGACAATTCGCTGCATGGTGTTTAATCTCCTCTGAAATATTACAGACTTTTGATTTCATGATTACCCAATCCAAAAGTACGTTCAGAAATAAAATTACTTTATAAGCATCCTTAATGTCTTGTTTTGGTCAGGTACAGCCAGTGCATACTAACAGGTGAAGCAGGCTCATTAGATACGTATTGATGCAACTACATTGATATGTAAACTACTTTATTTAAGCTTCAAACCAAGACCTGTTGTTTCTTCATCATAGGAAGCCTAAATGAGGATGGGTCACAGAAACTTTTCGATAAGGAGTATGTACTCATGTTTGGTGTGTTTGATGAAAACAAGAGTTGGCAAAAATCAGCATCACTCAAGTACACAATTAATGGCTATACTGATGGAACATTACCAGGTACTATTCAGGCTAATGTGAAAGGAAACTAACATTGATGAAGACTAAGTATTACCTTTTGCTTTTTGTGCAAGGGAACAGGAATGTGGAGGCATGGATTACAGCCTTTTTTAGAACATGTCTGTAAGCATCGAAACCCTAGAAGAGAAACTGTGCTGCTGGAAGGAAGTCATTGCTGATAAGAACAACAAGATTACATCTAAGAAGAGTTCTGCACAAAGAACAGGGTTACTAACTATAAAAACATAAATACCTCCCTTTTTTACTCAGCTGATGGGGAAAGAGTGATGTGTTTAAGCGAACTGCTGGTTTTACAGCATTTAAAACATACTAGGTGAAGAACTTCCTGGAAGTGGAAAGTCAGTTACCTTGTGGGAAGACTAGGAAGGTTGTAATGGGCTACACCTGGGTCAGAGCAATCCCAGGAACAGCTACAGGTTGGGCAGAGAAGAGATTCAGAGCAGCCCTGCAGAGAAGGACTTGGGGGTGTTGGTTGATGAGAAAATGAACATGAGCCAGCTTCAGTGTGCACTCGCAGCCCAGAAAGCCAACCGTATCCTGGGATGCATCAAAAGAAGCGTGACCAGCAGGTCGAAGGAGGTGATCCTGCACCTCTCTTGTGAGACCTCACTTGGAGCATTGTGTGCAGTTTTGGTGTCCTCAACATAAAAAGGACATGGAACTGTTGGAACAAGTCCAGAGGAGGGCCATGAGGATGATCAGGGGACTGGAGCACCTCCCGTATGAAGACAGGCTGAGAAAGTTGTGTCTGTTCAGCCTGGAGAAGAGAAGGCTGCGTGGAGACCTCATAGCAGCCTTCCAGTATCTGAAGGGGGCCTATAGGGATGCTGGGGAGGGACTCTTCATTAGGGACTGTAGTGACAGGACAAGGGGTAATGGGTTAAAACTTAAATGGGAAGTTTAGACTGGATATAAGGAAGAAGTCCTTTCCTGTTAGGGTGGTGAAGCACTGGAATAGGTTGCCCAAGGAAGTTGTGAATGCTCCATCCCTGGCAGTGTTCAAGGCCAGGTTGGACAGAGCCTTGGGTAAGATGTTTTAGTGTGAGGTGTCCCTGCCCACGGCAGGGGAGTTGGAACTAGATGATCTTAAGGTCCTTTCCAACCCCAACTATTCTACTGATTCTATTCTTTCACTAGTGTCTTCCCCTAGTTCTCCCAAGCAGCTACTTTCACATCTCTATCCAGTCCATTGAGCAAATACAAAAGACTGTTTTAAGTCCCTTTCCTTCCTCTCCCCTTTCTCCTCCTCTTTTCTGTAAATAAGGACAGCTTTCCAAATAAATCAGCTTTCCAAAATAAACTTCTGGTGTTTTTCCTTCTTTCCCACCTCACTATAACTCAGGTTGTCATTTGCATATAGGATTTAAACACCTATCTTCCACTGACGTAGAGGATTTTGGTATCTGTTCCATTGGCAAGCTTCTGAAACTTCCTCTTGTTACAAACACTCAGGAGTCAGATATTTATTTTTTAATATTTTGAGCAAAGCCTCAGTATAGACCTAGTATGCATAGGAAACTTGCATGATTTGTCTGTGTTCTGAATCGTACTCTGGTGTCTCTTTCAGATTTGGAAGCTTGTGCATATGACAACGTTAGCTTGCATTTGATAGGAATGAGTTCCAAGCCAGAAATTTTCTCCGTTCATATCAATGGCCAGTCCATGGAGCAAAGACAACGACGAGTTTCTAATGTTAACCTACTGGGAGGAGCATCAACCACAGTAAACATGACAGTGACTGAGGAAGGAAGGTGGCTCATATCTTCTCTTGTCCAGAAGCACCTGCAAGGCAAGGGAACATCTATTTATGAGGCAACTGTGGAGTTGTCCTTCTCTTCTTTATGTCCCAAATGGCTTCTGCTGTTTTGCAATGGTACCATTACTGCGTTTCAGATGGTGATTATTTCGCTCAGAAACCACTGGAGACCAGGGCATTCTGTTGGAATGAAAAGTGCATAATGAACTAAAAGGCACTTTTATCTGCTGCTTTATTGCTGTGTGCAGATCACAGAGCAACAGTGAATCAGTACTCCTGTGTCTTAAGTCTCTCTGAGCTGTTATAAAATGATTAAGGAACCACCTGTTCCTGGGGAACAGCTGAGGGCCACTCAATGGGTTGAAAACGTTTTGCTGTTCATCATTTGAAAGTGGGTATCCCTCAGCAGTGACCAGAATTCTGTTTTAAAGCATGAGGGAAATGTCTCTTACAAGAGCTGGAAGGCATGTCTTGGGGGGGGGGAAACCCAAACAGGGTAGGAGGGAATAGCTTTCTCTCTGTTGAGCTGGTATTTTTAAAGAGGGCTAGTTGAGATAGTTTCTCTATTCCATTTGATTCCTATGGGATCCTTGGAAGGCTTACATCTTATATATAGTCTAAATGGATTCAGCCCTTTCAAGCCTGAAAAGATGGTAATCAGGTGAACAAACACATGCTGACAGCCTTACTTAGCTAAAGAAAAGAGAAATGAGTTGAAGTGGTAAGGGTTCATAAAATGGAAAATCACTGTGATACTGTTTCTTCCCAATCAGCTGGAATGCATGGTTACCTCACTGTAAGAGATTGTGGGGACAAAGAGGTGAAGAAGAGTCGTCTCTCCTATAAAGAACGTCTTATGGTCAACAGCTGGGAATATTTCATTGCTGCAGAAGAAGTTACTTGGGATTATGCCCCAAATATTCCAGACAGCCTTGACAGGTAAAATAGTACTTTTCTAACATATTACAGAATGTTAACATGAAATCACAGTATAATTCAGGTTGGACAGGGCCTCTGGGGACCCAACAGCAAAGTGGCACAGGGCCCATATTCAGTCAAGTTTTCATTGTCTCCAGTGGTGGGGACTCCTCAATTTCTCTGGGCACCTTTGTAACCTCAGAGTGAAAAAGTTTTTGATTTTACCTGATCAGACTTACAATGTTGTACATTGTGTCCATTGTGTCTTATCTCTTCACTATGCAACTCGGAGAAGAATCTGGTTCTGTTTTCTCTATAATCCCCTATTTGATAGTTGAAGATAAAAAGAAGATGCTCCATTAGCTGTGTCTTTGTACGACTGAATAAGCTGAGATTTTGCTCCTATGTCATCTGTTGTTGCTTCTCGATCACTTTGGTGGCCCTCCACCAGGCTCTCACCACACTGTCAATGGCTTTCTCTCCTGAAGAGCCCAAAAGTGGGCACCTTTTTTTGCCTCTAATGGGGAGCCCAAAAGAAGAAAATGACTTATGGAATGCCTTAAGTAGCATACAAGCCTGGTTCCTAAATTACTTTTAAATGTGAATTCTGCTGAAAGAAACAATCCTTAAGAGAAAGGCAAAGAGAGGGAGGGAATATTCCTGGAGAATTAAAGTTTTTTAAAGTTCAGTACAATAAATTGTTTAGGGAACAGAAGAAAGAGAGGTGTCTATAAATAATCTCTGCATGACACCTGTGTCAATGTAGTAAAAGTCATAATAAATAAGCATATTGGGCTATTTTGTTTGATGTGAGGAATTCTGTAACATACATGAGGTCATAGAATCATAGAATGGTTAGGGTTGGAAACATAATGCTGCCAGTGCACTGTAAGGTTAAATTTGCAATTTCACTTCCCCACTGCAAGAGCACTAGTAACTTTACAATCTGATGTTCATAAGAACTTTTAAGGATTTAAGCAGAACAAGACAAATTTCTTACCCTGTATGGAGTTACAGTTTCATATATCTCCATAGAATATAGCATTCACATAATACTTTAAGTATTCCTTCTTCTTTGGCATGATCTTTGCTCTTGGACTGCATAGAGCAAGCTTTTATATCTTTCCCTGCTAATTTCATGGCATTACTTAACCACCTCAGTGCTTCTTTGTTCAAAGTTAGTTTATCCCTGTTCAGTAGCTTTTTTTGAAATGCAAGTGACCAGAACAACTGTGTTACTCTGTGTTACTTCCTGGTAAATATCCTGGTTTTGCTATCAGCATTAACAATTCTTATGTTTTTAAACCTAAGTGTAGCACTGCTTATTGTATGGTGCTTGACTGGGATTAACATTAGCTGTTCCTGTCTCTCCTAGAGTCTTTACTCCTGTAAGCAAATTGTTTATTTTTTCTGTGCTCAACTATGCCATTTTTAAAGGAGAGCAGTGATTTCTGCTATCTAATCTTGAAAATGTAGCTGCTGCTTCAGTTTGTTTCTTTCTTGCATGTATGCCCAATTAAATGAAATGTAAACTCTGATACTAATTGACCCTGATACTAGAACAGAAATAATGTTCCAAGCTCCTTCTTACCTAGTTTAGGTTAGAATTTGGGGTAAAGAGCATTAGGTTAGTTTAGGGTTTGAGTTTTTTTTCACACAATGAGGTTTCTGCCAGTTGCTTGAGTACTAATTCTGTATTCCAGTAGATGTCACTACTCAAGTTTTGTTGATCATTTGTCTTTTTCTTTAAGACACTATAAAGCACAGCACTTGGACAACTTCTCAAATCTCATAGGTAAAAAGTACAAAAAGGCTATTTTTAGGCAATATACTGATGCCAGCTTCACTAAACGTCTGGAAAATCCTCGCCCCAAGGAAACTGGAATCTTGGGCCCTATTATCAGAGCTCAGCTCCATGACAACGTCAAAGTAAGTAAAAAATTCAGAGTTTATTTATACTACAGCATAATTTTCTGTTGGGCACAGATAGAAAAGACCTACTTTGATTTGTTTGGGGTTTTTTTTGTCAAAAAATATAGCTGATGTTACAAATATTGGCCCTGTTAAAAGGTATGATCACAAGTGGTGGTGTTTAGCTTAAATTTTTCAGCATTCCCTCTATAGGTTCCTAATGGTACTTCATTTTACAAAATAAACATACTTCATTAACACTCTTTGTAAAACATATTTATATGTTGGCATTGATCTAAATGGAAAAAATTTGAACATGAGCCCAAGCTTCATGGGCCTCTCATTCCTTATGTTGTTATTTTTTTCTGCCTGTTTTAGACAGTGGTACTCAGTTTTCATCCTTAAATGTTCTTTCGTGGAGTTATGAAATGAAACACCCTCTGTCACATCCACTTGTCTTTCTGTTGTCACTTAATGATGCATCGCAAAGTTTCATGACCTTTTATTGTTACCATGAATCTGTGACTGAATTTGAGTTTAGCATGTTTGGGGTTTTTTTTGTTTTTTTTTCCTGGTTTCATCAGGAATAGGCAGGACATTTTGCCTTTTCCACTCATATCCCTGTAGGTCTTGGAATCTGAGAAAAGATTAGCTTTTAAATCTGTTTCAATATGGGAGACAACAAATTTAAAGTTCGTAAGAACTTTAATCAGTGACTTCATATTCCCTGAGGTAATGTGTGTCTCGTAGCTGGAGAAATGAGTGTTCTTTTTAGATTTTCCAGAGACCAGGTTTAAGAAGCTGAACTTTACTCAATGGGCTCTACAAAACCCAGCATCAGGGTATCAACAGCATTTAGACTGTGGGTTTTATGTAATCAGACAATATTGAAGACATCCCTTTGCTTTTCCAGCACTTTCTGAGCTGAAATCAGGAAAATTCTGCTGTAGTTGAAGCTTTTGTCATGTATTCTGGCAAGGATTTGCTGAATACTAAATTCATTTTTGCCTGTCAATATAGGTTGTGTTCAAAAATAAGGCCAGTCGACCCTACAGCATTTACTTCCATGGTGTGACACTTTCAAAGAATGCAGAGGGAGCTAATTATCCTCTGGATCCTACAAGTAAGGAATTTGTGAATTACATTTCGCATACCATTAACTGTTGTGGAGGGTTTCATTGATTTGAAGAGAAGAGATTCAAAGGAGCCCTGCAGAGAAGGACTTGGGGTGCTGGTTGATGAGAAAATGAGCATGAGCAGGCAGTGTGCGCTTGCAGCCCAGAAAGCCAACTGTATCCTGGGCTGCATCAAAAGGAGCGTGAGCAGCAGGTCGAAGGAGGTGATCCTGCCCCTCTACTCTGCTCTTGTGAGACCTCACTTGGAGTATTGTGTGCAGTTCTGGTGTCCCCAACATAAAAAGGCCATGGAACTGTTGGAACAAGTCCAGAGGAGGGCCATGAGGATGATCAGGGGACTGGAGCACCTCCCATATGAAGACAGGCTGAGAAAGTTGTGTCTGTTCAGCCTGGAGAAGAGAAGGCTGCGTGGAGACCTCATAGCAGCCTTCCAGTATCTGAAGAAGGCCTATAGGGATGCTGGGGAGGGACTCTTCATTAGAGACTGTAGTGATAGGACAAGGGATAACGAGTTAAAACTTAAACAGGGGAAGTTTAGATTGGATATAAGAAGGAAATTCTTTCCTGTTAGGGTGGTGAGGCACTGGTATGGGTTGCCCAGGGAGGTTGTGAATGCTCCATCCCTGGCAGTGTTCAAGACCAGGTTGGACGAGGCCTTGGGTGATATGATTTAGCGTGAGGTGTCCCTGCCCATGGCAGGGGGGTTGGAACTTGATGATCTTAAGGTCCTTTCCAACCCTAATGATTCTATGATTCTATGCTGTGGCTAAGCATGCGTGTGACTAGGAGACCTCAGTTCTGTGCTCTGCCTCTGCTGACCTGTTGTTTTGTCTTATAGAGAAAACAAGTATTGTCTGCAAACTATAGACAAATACCCTTTTTTTGTGTCTTAGTTTTCTGTTCTTGTTTGTGATTTTTGGAGAGAGAGACAAAAGTTCATGCTGAACAGGAGTTACCTCAGAGGTAGCTTAAAAAGGTGTGACATCACCAATTTCATTAAAAGGTGCAGCCTGATGTTATATAAAGATCTGGCTCTAATTTTGTATCATTACTGTTCTTCCTTATTTTTCCTTAGGCAATGACACCCAGAGAAGAGGAGTTGAACCAGGGAATACATACATTTACGAATGGAAAATTGCTAAAACAGACCAACCCACTGCACAGGATGCACAATGTATTACAAGGCTGTATCATAGTGCTGTAGATATTGAGAGAGATATAGCCTCTGGACTGATTGGCCCACTTCTGATTTGTAAAAGTGAAGCACTGAATCAGAAGGGTGTGCAGGTAACATGTTTGGCAACCTCTTATAGATAGATTTTACTCTAGTAATAATGTTGGCCCTTCAGTGAGTTTGGGTTTGCTCCCCTTAGAGAACTGTCATGTAGAGAGCAATTACACCAACAGGATCCTAAAGAAATTACTTGAAGAAACAGTCCTCTAACTGTCCACAGCAGTAGAGGAATTATTTTCTGATTTTCTTAGCAAGAGCAGCATTTCAACAAAAGGTCAACCTGACTTGAAAGTCTGTTTCTAGACTTGATTATAAACTTTGCTGCTGCTATTATATCTTTGCACTGTAAAGATATTCAGATATGAGCGGTGTCTATCTGTAACAGATATAACTCAGACTGACAATCCCAGTGATCACTGAACCCAGAGCAACCCAAATAGCATGGGAAAGTTCTTGGAGAGTGGTTTTCTTTCCCATCCGTTGAAATCTTGTATGGCAAAGCATTGTGACCTTGAAGTCTTGACTCTATGCTTAGCCTTTGGATCACACTTACCACAATTGTAGTGAAGCTTATATTGCTTATATAGTAAGCAAGAAAGATGGTAGGATTGAGTCCGTACATGCCTCTGCTCATAAAATGCATTAACTGATGTGTCAATTTTCTTTTTCAGAAAAAGGCAGATGGGGAGCAGCAGGCAATATTTGCTGTGTTTAATGAAAATAAGAGCTGGTACATAGAGGATAACATCAAGGACTACTGCAGCAACCCCGCCAGCGTTAAAAGGGATGATCCCAAGTTCTATAACTCAAACATAATGCACAGTGAGTGGCATGTCAAGCTGAATATTGCGAAAGCTCATGTGAACATGAGCATTCAGTGATTGCTTGTTCTCAGGTGTAGTACAATCAGGGAATTCTCCAAAGTCATTGAACTTCTAACTATCCCAGGTGGCACTGTACAGAAATATGCAATATTTTAGGGACCAGGCTGGCTCTGGACCCTGAAACAAAGGCAAAGGTTATTTAACTTTCACATAGTACCCTGCTGCCTTAGAGATACTATTTCCAGAGCTAGAATAAACCATCAAGGCTGTTGTGGTTTCAGCCCTGTGTCAGTCTCTTTCCAGATGCAAATGTGAGTCCAGTTCAGTGGACTGACATGAAAGAACAGCAGGTTAGAAGTCTTATTCTGAAAATATTGAGACCATTTTTATTTCACTTTTCTTTTAGCAATAAATGGCTATGTGTCTGACAGCAGTGAAATCCTTGGATTTTGCCAAGATAGTGTGGTTCAGTGGCACTTCTCCAGTGTTGGCACTCATGATGAGCTTGTCTCTGTTCGCCTTTCTGGGCACTCTTTTTTGTATCAAGGGAAATATGAAGATGTGTTGAACCTTTTCCCAATGAGTGGAGAATCAGTCACAGTGGAAATGGACAATGTTGGTAAGTGGTAAACTACAGTGTTTGATGCCTTTTCTAAGACATTTTTTTAATCCCCTGTCTATAGGGACTTACCTAAATAGGAATGAAAACCTTTCAGGTAAACACAGTGCTGGAAAATGTTGAATCATTCCCAAAAGCAGTTGATGTGTATGGAGTTTTGTTGGCTACACAGATTTAGCACATAGCATAATTGTATTCTATACTGAGGTGTTTTTTGTAGAGGCTTTTTTCACTTCACAGCTAGTACTGGGGCTAACAGTGATCTTTTTAAGGCAATTCTAAGATTGTTCATGGAAACAATCAGTACCAACTCCACTGTGTGATGCCCATACTTGCCACATACTTGTCCATCCTGAATTAGGTAAAATAGGCCAAGACTGCCAAATTATGCTAATCATGATTGGACAAATAGAGTACCCCTCACCTTGTGGTCATTTAGCAGTAGCAAAGTCTGCCTGACTGAATCACATCACTGGCCTATTGGTATACATCGTCTCAGTGTCTAACTGGGATTAATACTGTATCTTGAAAAGGTGACACTAGAGCCCATGTAGTCTACACTTAAGGAGTTACCTGCAAAAGGACAGAGATTCATCCTCATTGAAGGCTATGAGTTAAATTCCACAGGGTTGAGGTATCTTTATCCTATTTAAAATATCCTTTTTTTCTTTTTTTTCTTTTGTATATTTAAATAATGAATTCTTTATATCCTCAAAGCATGTTTTTGGTGATCATACTGCATCAAGACCTTGTAAGTTATAAATGTATGTTAAGTGTTTTATGTTATTTAAGACTAAGGAATCATAAACGTTCCATCTGACTTACAGAAAATTATGAGGTCTACCTTTGCTTGATTTTTGGTATGCAATCTTTTCTTTCATCTAGGGCATGTTTCGTTTTATAAATTTGCTGTTGGAAGCTATGCGAGTCACTTCAAACCCTGATAAATACTGAAAAATCATATGGGACCTTTTTAATGAAAAAGGCTGTTTTTCTCAAGCTCTGTTAATTCTGTCTATTCAGTCATTTCTGCTAGTGCCAAAAGCAAGCTGTAATGAGCAAAGAATTTAATTTGATGCTGTTTAGGGAAACGGATTGTACTTTGTTCTCTGCAGACCCTAGTTTCAAATAGAGAACTTATCTTTTGACTAGGTTTTGAAGGAATTATTAAAACCTTTAAGTTAATCTAAGATGCCTGGGATTGGCATTTTAATGTTTTGTGTCCAGATTGAAAATTCAAATTACTTTATTCTTTTAAAGATCATTCTTTGTGCATTTAAAAGCTTTTAAAATACTGTGTTTGTCAACAGTGCCTCAGAACATATTTGTTCTGTTCAGAATGCTCTGTGTGGCAATGTATTCAACACTAAGGGCAGGGCAAAATGAACATTTTCACTCAGAAGATCCCACTCTTAGATCTAGATATAAACATAGGATCCTTTACGTTGTTTCTCTCTTTTTCACATGCATCTCTTTAATGGGTTATGTTTGAACTCAGATCCTAGGTACAGCTTAATCTGTGAAGCTCTCCAGCTCTTAGATGTATGTATTTATATGTGCTATTATTTATTTACATTTATTCCTTTTCATAGCAGTTAGAGCTAATGGAAATCTCAGTTGAGGATTAGGACTCTGCTATAGCAGGTGCTGTAGAAACAAACCCAGCAACTTGCTACTTACATGGTAGGCAATATCCTCTCATAACTACTTGTGTATTAGAAAACCACTTTTATTTCAATTGCAGGTACTTGGCTTTTAGCATCCTGGGGTAGCCCAGAGATGAGTAAAGGCATGAGGCTGAGATTCAGAGATGCCAGATGTGACAATGAGGAAGATGACATGTTTGATGTTATGGATTTCACTTACACCAAGACTGATAAAAAGGCTGTTTCCACCTCAGTTGAGGATGATGTGCAAGAAGAAGAAACTGATAAGGAAGATTTGGATTATCAGGATTACCTGGCTTCCTTTTACTCCATCCGAAGCTTAAGGAAAGCAACAGCCAATGAAGAAACCCAAAACCTTACAGCACTGGCCTGGGAGCAGTATGAAGGCACTGATGCCATGAGTTCTGAGGTGGCAGCTGGCTCAGGTCTGACAGCTCTATATAGTAGTGAATCCACAAGCACCTCTGAGTTCTCAGAAACTCTTATCACTCCTCTTCCCCTAATCGAGGCTGAAACATTCCAGTCAAATCACACATCAGTCAAAGCAGAAGAGGATTTATTTTTGGCTGGCACAAGTGATGGGAAGGCTGACTTGGTATTTGAGAATAGAAGCCAAAGCAATTATGAAATAGATCACAGTAATAACATGGCTGCAGATGAGCTCTCACTGAGCAATGGGGAAGGCCAAATGAATGTTGCAGAAGAGTTTCCAAGTGATGGGAATCACAGCAAATTTTTTTCAGAAAAGAATCAAGAAGACCGCACAGGAACAGAAAATTATAACATTAACAGTAAAAGGAAAAGGCGAAACTTGCTGGCCATCAAGTTTTACTCTGTCCAGAAGATGACTGCCCTTCTGAATCATGTACGAAATAAAAATGTCTCATTTTTTGACAAGACAAGTACACCTCATTCTGCGCATAATGCAGAGAACACATCTGAGATAGTGGGAGCTGGCCAACTTCCAAGTGATTATGATGATGAACTGGAAGAAGAAACCAAGGTGGAAAATGCCATGCAAGATGTTAACTTGACACTTGCTTTGGACCTCATTGTAGATGGGTCTAATGCATCCAACCTCTCTGAACCCAAGCTATCCAAAGATAAACAAGCAGACACTTCTTTAGGCAATATAAGGCCTAATTCCAGCCCTGCTTTAGTGAAGAACTTACTAGAAGCATCATTGCCCAGGTCTGGGAAATATTCATCTAAAACAACAAATGAGGAATGGAATTTGGTGTCTGCAAAGGGGAGTCTGGGATTTGAGGCAAATTTAGATAAATCTGTGGGTGGTAAGTTAAATCGTCATGGCAGGAATGTTACAGCATTCATAAGTAAGAAGCATATGAAGAAGTTTCAGGGGTTCTTGCATCTAACAGGAGAAAACCAGAAAGGGAGCCACATGCACCCAGCTCTGAAAGGAAGGGAGGAGAACAAGAATGATACTTTGAGTACCTCTGGAACCTTTATCAAGATCCGAAGGAAAAAAAAGGAATATCCAAAAGTGAACCACTTGATGAGCCCAAGGAGTAAAAAGCCCCCCCAGACCATCAATTCTATGGCAGAGTATGGCCGTACATTGTTTCTGGGCGAGACCAACCACACGACACTGCCATGTTGCACTAACACTACAGAGGCACCCAGTGAGGCCAACCATACACATCTGAGCAAAGCCAAGCACGAAGAGTCACAAAATTACACACTCACCCCACGGCAGTTTAAGCCATCGATCACGATTGGGCTTCCCCAAGAAAATGGAGAATACGAATATGTTATGGAAGGATATTACAGCGAGGAAACATCAGGTAGTGAATATGAGTATCATTATGTGACCTTTGATGACCCATACATGACAGACCCAAAAGTGAATATCAATGAACAACGTAACCCAGACAACATTGCTGAACATTACCTGCGTAGCAAAGGGAACGAGAGGAGATACTATATTGCAGCTGAAGAGGTCTGCTGGAACTATGCAGGATACAAGAAGAGGTTTGGCTAAATTATTTGCTTTTATTTTGCATGTCACCCTGATACATGCTAGCAGATTGTTGATTCGCATGCTGATATACTTAAGGGTAACATGATTCCCAGTTGCAGAAACATAAGACTTTTCCATGAGAGGCTGGGGCTCCCCTAGAATGTCATAGAGAGAGGTTACTATAATCAAGAGAAACACAATTAAGAACCCTTTTCTATGCTCAGAGCTCTAGATAGATCTCTCCAGTGAGGTTCATCCTCAGCCAATGTGAGTTGGATAGTTCCATCAAAATTAACAGAGCCCATGGCATATACTTTCTCAGTGTGCTGAAGAGCAGAAAAACAGCCTTTTTTTCCTACTAGATTACTTTGGTTAAGTTTTTGTTTTTTTTCAGAATTGATAATAGGGTGAGGTTTATAGGGAATGATAATACGTTTTATCAGAATAATAGCATTTTGGTGCTTCTGTTTAAGATCTGCAGTATGGTTAGAATGCCTAAAAGCTTACTTTTTCTTACCAGCTTTGTGTGGCAAAATGCAGATATAATCAAAGGTAAAATGTGTTCCTGTTAGCTTTCCAGAGAAGGTATGTCTGTGTGACAGTAGGGCATAGGTGGTAGGCTCTCTACACTCCAACCTAAGCCCTGATTCAGGTTGTTAAGGCTAGTTGTAAAAAAGGAAAACAGAGCTCAGGTGGGGTTTGAAAGATTAGAGGTTTTGGTCAGTGATAGCTGACCAAAGCTTCAAAGGATCTCCTGTACAACTGTAGAACTAGAATTGCTTAAACATTGCAAGTCACGATTTTCAGAATCATCTGGCATTTATTTGTGTGTTTATTCTTTATATTCTAAAATGTTCCTGCTGTATGAGTTCTCAGGTTTCATCAAAGCTAGTATTACTGATTCACTGTGTGGGTTTTTAATTGGAGATTTCCTTTCAGTACAATGATGAATGACAAACCCTGTAAAGATGGCACCACATATAAGGTGATTTTCCAAAGCTATACAGACAGTACCTTTACGACACTTCAGGATGAAGACGAGTATAATGAACACCTTGGCATCCTGGGGCCAGTTATCCGGACTGAAGTGGACGATGTTATCCTAGTAGGTCAATGTTTTGAACATGTGTGCAGCATAAGATTCTTGTGGTGATTATACGGTGTGACATAGAATGGGTCTAAAAATCCCACACATTTTTAAAAGATGATGGTTGGGGAAACAGTTTTCAAAGCTAGAAACACTAATGTGAACACAAAAACACAGTAGTGTGTTGCTTTGAAACACATCCTTGTTCTCTCCTCTCCATAGTAAATTCTGTTTTTTTTCTGTTTCCTAACAGTAGATACTGACTTATGAGTCTAATGTAAAATGAGATTTAAGTTCAATGTTAAAAAATTATTATTTTTTAAACCCAGATTGCACTGAACATATGAAAAGGGAGCTTCTTAATTTTTTAAAGAAATTAATAAATCTGTATTAAGGATTAATATATTTATCCAAAAGGTATGCTTTTCTCTGAAAAACTTTTGCTGTAGATGGGTTGGTTAGTTCTAATACAAACAACAAGGATAGAGAGGAACTGTATTGCTGGTGATAGAGTGGTATATTTGCATTAGGCAGCACCTTGCTGTAGAGCTTCCCTTCTCTTACCCCTTCTTCATTCAGTCTTCCAAAACAGATAGATGGGCTTAGATGGGGAGAGTAGATCTCTCTACTTTCTGCTTATTTCAGTAGGAGTAGTGCACAACAGGAACACATTGAGCTACATTTAAAAACATTTCTCTTAGAAGAAGGAGGCTATTTTAGCTTGGGAGCATCATTCTGTAAGGAGAGGTAAATATGTAATCTCCTTATCATCGTGCTTCTCTGGGACAAGTGAAATGCACTGATTTCAGTGGGAGTGATACATACAGAAGTCTGGTGTTACTATTTTGTACTGTCCTTTAGTGCAGCTGCAACAAAGCCCACAAGGTAGAAACTCTCCATCTCCCTGCTTGCTGTAATTAAGCATATCCACCTGTAAAGGGCAACAATGAAAGTCCTAAGAACCTAGACTCTGGAAGACAGGGAGTTAGATTTATGCTTTCTACTTTTTAATTGACTACCTCCATTGAAGAGGGTGGCTCTGCATGGAGACGTCAGATGCTATCCCTGCCAGCTTTGCTATGCACAATGTAACCTGTAATCACTTTACAAACCTTGACCATGGTTTAAGGTCATGGGAATCTATTGTGTGGGGACTTTGTTTTACACCTGCATTTGCTGAAGAGAATCTATTTCTTCCTTTCTTTGGTTTGTTGTTTTTTTTTGTTTGGTTTTTCTTTTTTTTGGTGTGTGGGGGGGTGTTTTTGGTTTTGTTTTTAGGTTCATTTTAAGAATCTGGCATCCAGACCATATTCTCTCCATGCTCATGGACTCTTCTATGAAAAGTCATCTGAGGGAAGCATTTATGACGATGAATCTCCTGCCTGGTTTAAGGAGGATGACCAAGTCCAGCCAAATAACAGCTATATATACGTATGGTATGCAAACAGGCGATCGGGACCTGTGCAGTCAGGAGCAGCTTGTCGGTCCTGGATCTACTACTCTGATTTAAATATGGTAAGGAAATCAAAATCGAAGTGGTAGTGTTGCTGGGGATGATCACAGAATCACAGAAACATTTGTGTTGGAAAGGATCACTGGAGAACATCTAGTCCCCCCACCCCCAACTCAAGCAGAGTCAGATAGAGTAGGTTTCCAAGACCACATCCAGTCAAGTTTTAAGTATCTCCAAGTGATACTGCTGTATAGCTGTAGAACACATTTTGGTTATCTGGCATTTTGGGCTTTATGTTCCCATCTGACATTTAATCTCTTATACTCAGTTAAAAGAGGATATAAGCTGTTGAAAAAATCAAATTGTGGAGCTTATTTGTAGATTGAGCCACAGGAAAGTAAAGATACAACACAACAACAATTCTGACCTCTGCTTTAAATTTTTAGGGTCTGATGCATTTCTACGGAATTCTGTGTTTTCTTGACATCTTTTGGGAAATCCACTCTTAGATCTTATATGAGTTCATTACCTTCTAGGAGAAAGATATTCACTCTGGTTTGATTGGGCCAATACTGGTTTGTCAAAAAGGAACCTTCAGTATGTCAAACAACAGCAAAACATCGACCCGAGACTTTTTCTTGCTTTTTATGGTCTTTGATGAAGAGAAAAGCTGGTACTTTGACAAACATTCTAGAAGTCCGTGTACTGAGAAGACCCAGGAAGGGCAGCAGTGCCACAAATTCTATGGTACTTATTTAATTTTGCCAAGTATTCAGTTTGTCGTGGTAGAAGGAAAGGTGTTGGGGGAGGTATCTCAGCTCACTGTGTCTTTGAACATGCATAAATCTTACATGTTAATTATGTGAATGGGGTCATTTTTGTTGTTGTTCTTCATTATACCCATAATAGTCATAGTCTCATATGTAAAGATTAGCATTGACTGGAAATTTGTTATTACAATGAAGAAAGGTCATACTAGACTGAAACTTCCAACAGAAAACTACTCTCTGGTACACACCTACATCTATCCCCCATATTTAAAAAGAAAAAAAGAAAACCAAAAGACCCTCTTTTTAGGAAGAAGTTAATGCCCTGAAACCTTTTTGCAATAAATTTAAAAATACTACCCTAATTTGACAAATCACATAGTTCTACTGAGGAATTTAAAGCAGCCATAAGACAGCTCTTCATATACCTCTCTGTGGATGCAGAGATTTCAGACATGTAGACTTGAATAAGTGGCTGACTGTTCAAGGCAACCATTTTTTTCTTTTGAAGGTCGGTAACAAAACTATGTTTCTGTCTTTGAAAATCTGATGTTTGTGTGCTGTAAGTGATCATGTTTGAAAAAGGCATGTTGAGAAGAGGAATCTGCCTTTTCCCAAATGCTTTACGTCATTAAATATTTTACTCATTTTGATAACTACATTCTAGCACTTTGAGACCTGTTTTGTGAGCAGTTTTCCTTATCAACAATGTTATTTGATTTTCAGCCATTAATGGGATTACCTACAATTTGCAAGGTTTGAGGATGTATGAAGGTGAACTGGTCCGATGGCATTTGCTGAATATGGGTGGGCCAAAAGACATTCATGTTGTTAATTTTCATGGACAGACCTTCATAGAACAAGGAAAGCCACAGCATCAGCTTGGTACATACATGCTCCTTCCAGGTAAGTATCAGAGCAGAATAAGTTCTAAGGGGTGATCATTGCAGCCTGTTGTCTTCATACCAGTATAAAGGTGGACAGAAGTTGCTGTTGAGCGCAGTAAGAAAGAGTTTGAGAGTGCTACTGGTTCATTTGCCTACAATGGTGAGAAGGAAAATCATCGCTTTGCACCTTGCTTAACAAGGAAATAAAGGTAACGTTGTACTTTAAAACTGGAAAGATGAATGAAGTTACAGGCAAAACTTAAGTGCTTGGACAAATGTTGTCTTTTCAGATGAGAAGGGATATATATGGAAAATGAATATACAAAAAGCAATGAGGGCACATACTGTGCTTTCTAAAAACTGCAGTAAATAGTCTAAACCATATCTGCTTTCTGCTCAATCCTTGGCACTCCTGGGATATGCAAAAAGTGAGGCGAGGGCCCATACATCTGATTCTCCCACATCTACTTTTGGCTTCTTTCATCCATCCTTTACATTGCTTGAAGAACTCAACACACTGGGGCAGCAGGAGTAAGAACTATAATCAGCACCAAATTAACATCCCTCCATTATGTAATAAACTTAATAGCACTGTCCATTACCTGGCTCAGCACTGAACTTAATGTGCAGGTACCTGCTGTTACGTACAGGCATCCAAGATTTTCTATTTTGCACCAGCAGCAAAGATTAGGTTTTGATCTGGTCACTTAATTCTAAACTCTGTCTCAGCTGTGACTTGCTTGCTAAGAAAGGAATTACTGAGATGCTGGTAGCTATTGCTCTCTGTAATGTGTAGCAGGTTATTTAATTTTTTTAAGTCACAGGATGATATTTGCTTTACAATCCAGCCTTGCTAACATCAACCTTATGATGCTAATGTTTCTGACATGTTTCTCTTCCATTTTTTCTAGGCTCATTTAGAACAATCGAAATGAAACCGCAGAGACCTGGCTGGTGGCTTTTAGACACTGAAGTGGGGGAATATCAGCAAGCAGGAATGCAGGCATCCTATTTGGTTATAGAAAAAGGTACTGAACTAAGGAGGTTTTTTGACTGGGGAGAGTCAAGCTATAAAGTCATCTCTACCCTTTCAGTATTACTAAAAATAAATCTGGGAGGTTGTTCTGCAAAAAAATAAAGCAGATTGTCTGTGCATTCAGGAGGGTGTGAATTGGTTACTGTAGATTTGTGGTAGAAGAAAAAATGTGTTTAACCTCTACCATAGTAGCTCTGAAGTATTTAGCATACAATGTTTATTCCTTTAGCATACTGGCTTTGAATTTGAGATCTCCCCTCAGTGACCAGTGGATTAATCTGTTGAGAGAAATTGCAGAGATGAATTTGGCCTTCTCTGGGAAGAGAGTGGTGATGTTACATTGTTACTAAGAATTGTTCTGAGTGATGTTGTTTGAGAAGATTCCACTAGACTGTATGTTGGAATTGCCCTCCTATTTAACAACAAACCTACTGTGCTCTCTTTAGAGTGCAAGATTCCAATGGGTCTAGCAAGTGGTGTCATACTCGATTCACAAATTGATGCTTCACATCATATAGGTGAGTTAATGCTTGAAAAGGTCTGGGCATGCTCCTGAATGTGCATAGCAAAGTATTGCAGTTCCAAATCCTTTTGGCATCTCATGATAAGTGTTACAAGATCAGTTCAGCAGTTAATCCACTGTCAGGTTTAAAAGCTCTCCAGTGCTATAAGCAGAGACTGAGAGCTGTCTGAAGTAGCCCCCATCGTTGTAATTTAACGGTGTCGCAGGTCTACTGTCAGTATCGCAAGCTTGAGAGCTGGGGAGTCCTCTGTCTATGGCCTGCTGGATGACCTGGAACAACCCCAGCTCTGTCTTTTTGTCCTTTGGCTTCCCTGTTTGAAAATGAACACCAAGTATTCAAAAAGCTTTTGGTATGAGGTGTGAAAGGACAAAGTATACTTGTTATGAAAGATTTGGGAACCTGGCATCCCTCCAGAGCAATGACAGCGTCTTTAATTTACCAAGTATTTTCCTGGTTGAGAAGTGGGATCATTTGGTAGAGAAACTGACAGAATTTTACATGGACAGGGGCAAATCAAGGTGTACAGGTTACACATACATGCAGGAACACACATCCTTTCCCTTGAAATAACAGATTATTTATTTTGGAAAATGTGGGGGTTTTTTGTGGTTTTTTTTTGTGTTTAATTTCTTCATTTCCTACCACAGTGTTATAAAGGCTTGAAAACTCTGTTGTCATATATATTCCATATCAGTTGTTAACATGGAAACCTCATTATGCAGGGAGGAGCTGTCCTGCATGAATGTAGAGTACATTGTGTCTGATACTACTGGTGGCCAGCACTTGATTAGCAGACTCTAGACCCCAGTTCCAAAGCAGCAGACAGTGCGCTACAAAAAACGCTGTTATTTTTCAAGTCATTCTGCCAATTATAAAACTTCACAGCTGACTTGGTTGGTTAGTTGGTTGATGGGTTGTTTTGCTTTCTCCCCCAAGACAGACTGGAAAAGAAGTGAAGCACGCGATAGCAGGTTGCAACCTTAATTTATTTACTCATCCTTTATTCCTGTTTTCTGTCTTAGACTATTGGGCACCAAAGTTAGCCCGATTAAACAATTCTGGAACATACAATGCTTGGAGCACTGTAGTGAAAAAAGAAGAACTTGCTTGGATCCAGGTATGGTTGGTTCAGCAAGTGCTTGACCGTAATCGAGTTGTGATTTTCCTACAACTTATTATAGAAGGTCAAGATGTTCTTGCTCTCTCTGAGAAGACTGCTGGGGAAAACTGAAAAGATCTAGCAAGTTTGAATGGTGATGCCATGAACTGTCTACCTCCCCTGGAGTAACACAGTCTCTACTGCTGTTGAAGTCATTGACTGGACTATCATAATTTAGACTGTAACCATTTTGTAGGCAAATTGAGTCATTCTTTCTACTACTTTTCCCGCCCTCTCTCTACCTGATAGTACATATTTATATGTATGTGTGTGTTGGGTGATCATTTAAAGTGCAATACACTCAAGCATTGCTTCAGATAACTTGGGGGGGGGAGTAGGGTTTCTTGGGGTTTTTTTTTGGTTGATCGGTTGAGATGCTTCTGTGTCCAACTTGACACAGCACAGTGTGGCTTCATAGGGAAATTAAGCTTATAATTATGGCTTCAAGCACCATATCATTGTCACGTCATTCCATAATTTTTTTTCCATCACAATCACTTTTGCAGCAGATAGCAAATTTGCACCCAAATTTAGGTGATTTCTTAGAAATCTCATTAGAATTGGGAGTTTGGAGAGGAGAAAGACTCAAACTAGTGTTGCAGTGTAAGGTAAACAGGTGGCTGTTGTGTTTGCCTTGCTAACATTTGATGTGCTAGCAAGTTAGTAGAGGTGAACTCGGGAGACCTGAGGTCTAACTGGAAATAATGCTGGGAGGAGAGAGAATTTGATTGGGGGCATGGTAGTGAGAAGCTGAGTTACTGCAGTAAAGTATGCAGAGATACGGAAGACATACCCCAGAGAATGAGTTTCACTGCTGACAGGCACACCCTGCTGATTTGTTGTTAAGTGCTTGGATGTGGTATCAGCAGCAATGGTAGCTTTTCTGCACTTCAGAATGTCTTTTATCAGCCTGGGTGTCCAAAACTAGAGGCAGCTCATGAGAATGCAAGTCTTTAATTTCTTTATACTCCTTTTGTCTATCTGTAAAATGAGGCTAAAAGAGTTCTGCCTGTCACAGGTATTTTTGAGGTGCCTTCGTGGTGCTGTGCTGAACAGTATAAACTGGCCTCCAAAATGAAATGCACACACAGATAAATACTCAAATTATATGAGAGTGAGACAGCATTGATTTGGAATTTGGCATCTGGTTGTTATTCCTCCTGAGAGTGTTAGTGTTGTGGATGTTAAAATGCAGGGCACAAAGCCAACGTGTATATGACAAAGAATGAAATGGATATTGCTTGCATTATTGGTTTTGAAACACTGTTTGCTGTTCCTAGGTGGACTTTCAAAGACAAGTTCTGTTAACTGGGATACAGACACAAGGAGCCAAGCAGTTTTTAAAGTCCTTGTATGTCCAGAAGTTCTTCATTGTTTACAGCAAAGACAAACGGAAGTGGAGCACTTTCAAAGGAGACAGCTCACCAGCACAAAAGGTCTGTATGTGCCACAGGGGTTGTGATAACCTAGATAGCATCACTGGGTGATACAGTGAGGTAACAGTTTAATTTTATGTTAAGAGATAGGAGAAAAAAAATTATGGCTTTCAGAGATGTAATAACACAGCTTGAAGCTGCAAAGGGCAATCTAATAAAATTCAGGCCAGAAGGCCTGTAAGGTGAGGAATCTCATAGACTAGTGTTTATTGTGGCCCTATGACCTTGACTGTGTAGAGTCTGGCTTTTTTACAAGTATCTCTCCGTACTTTTATTTCCTAAGTCCATGTCAGCTTTTTTGATGCAAGCAGGAAGCTGAACTAAAAATCAGGTCGTATGTCATTTGGGATTAGATCTTCCCTGTTGTCCCTCCCTTTCTGCTGTCACAACAGTGGAATGTTAAGCTGTCTGAATTGTCTGCAGAAGGCCTCTGTCATAAGTGTCATACCTTGAAAGAGGTTCATTTTATGCCCAGCTGCTCCAACCATGCTTATTAGAGCTCCCTTCGGTTTCTTCTCCCTGAAGTTTCTATGGTACAACTCTCAAACTGAAAACCTGTTCTCTCTTATCTCTCCCCTCATTACTTACATCTTACTACTGACTTATGTAGTACATAGAAATGGGTTGCTTATTTGAACTGAGGCTTTCAGGCACTTTCAAATATGCTAAGATAGAATCATGAAGTATTCCAAGTTGCCCTTCAACACAGGGCGCTCCATCACTGTGGATGGGGCTAACAGTGTAAAAGACTACTTTTGTATCAGGGCAGGCTTGCAGCATCCAAGGTTGTGATTGCACTAAATTAACTATGTATGGACTTTCTTCTTTTTTTATTTTTTTTTTAATTTTTCTTTAACAGATTTTTGAAGGTAATTCTGATGCCTATGGCGTGAAAGAGAACATCTTTGATCCCCCTATTATTGCTAGGTACATCAGAGTTTACCCAACTGAGGCCTACAACAGGCCTACTCTCCGCATGGAGCTTCTGGGCTGTGAAGTAGATGGTAAGAATGGGTCACATGCTTCCTTTCTGGCAATTTTTTTACCTAATATCTTAAATGAAGCTAAAATTGTGGGTGTTCTCAGTTCCAACGTTGTTGGTTAGGCAGTGGCTACTGAAGATAACATGGTGTTTCTCTTAACAGGTTGCTCTTTGCCACTTGGAATGGAAAACAGAGAGATCAAGAATACCCAGATAACAGCCTCGTCTGTTAAGACATCCTGGTTTAACACATGGGGGCCTTCACTTGCTCGGCTCAATCAGGAAGGAATGATGAATGCCTGGCGAGCAAAGGTAATGGTGAAAAACAGGGATGACAGCAAGACGGCTGCAGTTACTAAATTTGTACTGCCTGTGTGCTCATGTGCTTCCTGCACGTTGTGTCCAGTGCCAGGCATGTTAGGATTATTTCACAACCATCCCTTGGGAAGAAGCCCCTTCAACAATTCCAGTGGCAAATTTCCAGCAAGAGCAATGAAGTCATCTTTTCAGATGGATATTGTTCTCTGGGCCTCAGCCTGCAGCACTTCCCTGCAGAAACAGTCCTTTTAATGTCAGGATATGAATGCAACTTGAATATTTGGCTTGAAGGGATTAAAGAAACCTTTCTGGGTTCCATATAGGTAGTGCAGCTTAATGGATCCAGGGGCAGATGACCTTCAGTAAGGCATGTGAGCATCTGAGTCTTCAAAATGGAGCTGCATTTCCTTAGGAAGCACCTTGAATGCTTCACAAAGATTTGTTGTAAGATACCAGTTTTATAAGCATTTGGTATCATGTATTACATTTTAATACTGGAGATAAATCTGTGTTATTGTTTGTTATGTATTGGAAATTAATGTGGAAATCTTAAGACACCAAGACATTACCTGCAGTGAAGAATTTAATTGTATGGGCCACAAAGAATGGTTGTGACTTTTGCCTCAACTTTACTCTTGTGCACTTCTTTGATACAGTTTTTAAGCAGTTTTAACAATCTTTAAGCAGGATTTTTCATTTAGGCAAATACGGACATAGACATGTTTGCTAATAGACAACTCTTTTTATGAATTATAGTTGAACAACAACCAACAGTGGCTGCAAATTGATCTCCTCACAGTTAAGAAGATAACTGCAATCGCTACCCAGGGGGTCAAGTACATGGCTGCTGAAAACTTTGTGAAAACCTATATTATCCTATACAGCGACCAAGGCTCAGAGTGGAAATCCTATACGGATGGTTCAAGCTCAGTGGCAAAGGTATTTCTCAGCTCTGGCATCTGTATTATTGCTTGCATTTAGATGCTGAGCACAGTCAAGGCTCAAAGGCAGAGTACGCTAAAGAGCTGAAGAGAAATTCTCAGAAGCTTTTATAATGCTAGGGATCTGGGGTTACTGCAAATAATGTCATAATATCCATCTGATTTTAGTCATGGTAATTAATACTAGTAACAGGGAAGAATGCCAAATCTGTAGAGTATGAAGTCAACATTGTGATAAAAGGAACTAATATTATTTGTAAAGGAGGACATTTAATTTGAATGAACAGCAGATTTCCTGGGGCCTCTTTTCAGCTGTTTTATTTCTGCCTTGATTTTATAAATTAAATTCATGTTAGTGCGCAGTTTTGCTGTACAGAGCTGGACAGCTCCAGCTGTTGACAGAGCGGACACAGTACTACGTCGTTGCTCATATCACTGTACTCACTAACCTAACCCACAAGGGCTATTGACGGAGTAAAATAAGGGAAGATTGGTTTGTTTTAGTTCAGGCAAGTTAGAATGGAAAATGTGGTGTGGATGGAAACAGAGGCTGTTTAATTGATTCAGACTCAGATATTGCTGGTCTGAACTAAATTTCAACTAGCATTTTAGGAAGAGGCTGGATGTGGTTTCATGTAAAATCAGAAACGAGTTGGTCCATGTTCCCTGGATGGTTAATGCAACAGCTTGGAACCATTTTAAAATGAAAAAGCAGGTTTGGGTTTTGCTTTGATGTTTGTTTGGTTTTTTTTGGTTTGGTTTTGTTTTTTTTTCTTTTTTAAGTGCTGCCTTTTAACTAATTTTGTGTTTGTTAATCTTCAGGTTTTCTTGGGTAATGAAAACAGCAACGGGCATGTCAAGCATTTCTTTAACCCACCCATCCTATCCAGGTTTATCCGCATTGTTCCAAGAACGTGGTATAGTGGTATTGCCCTTCGTGTAGAACTCTATGGCTGCGATTTTGGTGGGGGTCTGACTGTGAAAAGGACTGACGGTTCTGGGAGCTCTTAACCCTTCAGGAATCATCATGCAGAATGAGGCTTTTTAAAACCCTTAAAGCAATCATACTGGATGTGTGCTTCTTCAAAGGACATTAATGTTTTGCCAGCAAGAATTATGAGAGATTTCTCTGGCAGAATTTTTGTTCCTACAAATACACACTTTGGAAAACCATTTCTTTTCTCTGGGAAGAAACAACAGTCCCTTCTCATTTGTATTATCATTTCTTCATTATAACGCGCTCTGTTTTACCTTTTGCTTAAAAGTTCTAAATCCCTAGGGATGGAGACTCTGGCCTTAATCCTGAGCCCTGATTAACTTCATTTTGTAATGCTTCTGCAGCAGAGAGGAGGAATAGAAAGCTTACAGCAGTTGGATGTTCTCTGTACATAGGGCTGAGAGAGAAAACTAGTGCAGATATGGAGCTGTGGTGCTGCATTCCAGCAATGTGTTGGTAAGAAATGATTGTAGAGGTGGCCTCACCTCCACATCTCTTTCATCTACACTGCCCCAACAGTAGAATGCATCCCAGCATTGAGGTGTGTGCAGGCCCTTGGAGAATATGGTTCACATTACTGATTTGTTTCTTGCATACCCAGGCACGCCTGAAATGCTGTGGATTTCATGTAATTCGTCTTTAGTGCCCTTGCAAGGGGAAGGGGAGACGGCGGTATCTTTCTTTCCTGGAAACAGGAAGGGAAGTGATTTAACCTGGCAGGTCATGGAATGACAACAGTAGAACCAGTGAGGATCCAGAGCTCCTGACACTGTCCCATGCAAACTTTTAGACCATGGGGTGGGGGAGCTCCCTCCAATAGGATACATTGAGAACTGTAGCTGCTCAGTGAGAATACCACCTGGTGGTGGCAGAGGAGGGTTGGATGAAGCTGGGTAATGGCAACACCTGCACCTTCTTTACCATTTAGCTGTAACAGTGTTTTCAGTAATAGAACTACTCTTGTGCGTGGAGCACACATGGATTTTTTTCCAGGATGGCTACATCTAGTTAAAATATATACACACAGTCTATGAACTCATTATTCCAGCAAGTTTTGGCTAAGCTTTCAGTAGTGTTTATGGCTTTCATCCTGTAAATTTTTTAGTTGCAGAACTTCCACTTACCACACTGGGTACCATTCAGCAGGGTGGATTTTTCAGAGACGTTTGTCTTTGAACCTCATATGGTTTTATCCAGGTTAGTTCAGTAGTTTTTCAATTCTTGTATCTTACAGACCATGCATTTCAAAATGAAGGCACAGAACCAGAGTGAAAAAAGTATAAAAGCTAAACAAATATTTTCTTTTTTTTTTTAATTATGTTGCAAACTCTTTCAGTGGTAAATAAAGATAATATTGTAGCATGGAAAACATGGACATTGGATATTTGCCTTGACAGTGCTCTTTGGCAGTAATTAGTGAAATTCTGCATTATGAGAGTAAAATTTTCAGCTCCATGGGAATTTTCAGAGCTAATCAGGATTTCTTTCAATGGTAGAACTTTATGAATAATTGCTTCATCTTAAAATATCAGTTTGTTAATATTCTGTAATGGTCCTTACTTTATTTTTATTTGATGCAGCCATGAAATAGCACTACAAGTCATGTTCACTGTAAAAATAAAACATGTAAACTTTGGAGTCAGGTTTTACCCCAGAATGCAGATAAGAAAAGCTTGCTAACTTTTCAGCAGGACAGTGCAATAAACCATCTATGTTTAAGAAGGCCGTGATCTTAAAGGCTCTAAGTAATGAGTTCTTTATTTATGTAGGATTCTATGTGAAATTAGACAAATGCAAAATTGATTGCAGGAGCATGACTCAATACATCTGCATTGATTTTACAAATTGGAGATTCTCCTACTTCTTGCTATGATGGATAGGGCTGTGGTTAGCTGTCCCAGTTGTCTCCCTTCGTCATCCTCTTGTCCAGCCCCAGCCTAATCACTGGCAGGGCACAGAGGGAAAATGGCCTTGACCCTGTGCAAACCCTGTTCAGTAACAGCTAAAACACTCATGTATTGTCAACACTGGTTTAGTCATAAATCCAAAACACAGCACTCTGTGGGTTGCTAGAATGAAAATTAAGCCTGTAACACTGGTGTTCCAGTATAGCAGCACAGGAGCAGCAGCAGTGCCTGGGCCCTGTGCCAGCCCAGGCATGTGGCCATTGCTATTAACAAAATGTTCCCTGGCACAGTGGAGTAAGATAGTATGTGCTACAACAAACAGCAAAAGTCCAAAGCAGCCACTAACGAGCACCAAACTCCAATAGCCAGAAAGGCAAGCAAGCATAGGACCCTGCCTCTTAACAACAGCTATAAATTCTACATAGCGCATTGTCATCACATGTTAGTATCTCGACATCCTCTTGCCCCATGTTGAATACCATAAAGGACTGTGGTGGTTTGACACAGCTGGCAACAAAGGCTCCACTCAGGCACTTGCTTGCTCCTGAGGGACCAAGTGCCTGAGTGCTGGCAGCTCAGGGGAGAGAACTGGAAGGGCAAAAGCAAAGAAAACTTGGGGTTGATAGAAAGGCAGTTCAGTACGTGCAGCTGTCATGGTTTAAACTCAGTCAGCCACGCAGCTGCTCTCTCACTCCCCCCCTTCTTCCCCCTCACTCCCAGAGGGATGGGGAGGAGAATCGAAAGAATGTAACTCCCATGGGTTGAGATAAGACCAGTCCAGTAACTAAGGTATAACACAAATCACTACTGCTGCCACCAATAATAATAATGATAAGGGAAATAACATAACAAGGGGAGAGAATACAACCACTCACCACCCGCCGACCGATACCCAGCCTGACCGAGCAGTGATCTAACCCTTCTGGATGACTGCCCCCAGTTTATACAGTGGGCATGACATGCTGTGGTATGGAATACCCCTTTGGCTAGTTTGGGTCAGGTGTCCTGTCTCTGCTTCCTCCCAGCTTCCCCTCCTCCCTGGCAGAGCAAAAGACTCAGAAAGTCCTTGGTCAGAGTAAACATTACTGAGCAGCAACTAAAATCATCGGTGTTATCAGTGCTGTTCCCAGGCTGGAAGTCAAAACTGCAGCGCTGCACAAGCTACTAAGAAGAAGGAGAAAAATGACTGCTACTGCTGAACCCAGGACAGGAGCAAAGCAGAATAAGGAGTTTATTCACCACTTTCCACCAGCAGGCAGATGTTCAGCCGCTTCCTGGTAAGCAGGTCCTAGGCACACCTGATTTTGGAAGACAAACAACGTAACTTTGAACATCTGTCCTTCTTCCTCCTTTCCCTCAGCCTTTTTCACTGAGCATGATCTCATGTGGTCTGGGATATTCCTGGGGTCAGCTGTCCTGGCTGTGTCCTCTCCCAGCCTCTTGTGCACCCCCAGCCTGCTCACTGGCAGGGCAGGATGAGAAAAAGACCAGACCTTGATGCTGTGCAAACACTTCTCAGCAATAGCTAAAACACTGGTGTGTTATCAACAGTTTTAGTCACAAATCCAAAGCACGGCACTATACAGGCTCCTGTGAAGAAATTAACTCTATCCCAACCAGAACAGGCACACAACACACAACATATTTCCAAATGCAACTGGGGAAGGAGGAGGAGGAATTCTTGGTCCATGTTTACAGCAAGGAAGATGTGAAAACATATCTCTGCTGGATCTGCCACACATGTTTAATGAGCCTGCAGGTGACTAGAAAACAAAGAACTTCTATCAACTTGTGAAGCAGCCAGCTTAGATTGAATCTACCAAGGCTTGTGGAAATTTGTAGTTAAAACAGTCAGTCCTGCACATCCTTTTACACACTGTGGGATGAAATCCTGTGTATGAGAGCGCAACAAGAATTCCGGCAGTTTTTTTCAAAGTGAAGAGCATGTAACAGCATGAAGGTTAGCAAACACAAGCTCTTTTGGACTGAGGAAGAGACGTGGTGCCAAAGTTCAGAGTGTTCCTGTCTGGCCAGTAGTTTCTTCACTCACAAATCTGGGTGGATGCCTTCACACTGCCTTTTTGATCCGGAGGTCCAAAGTTAACTGGTTTTAGCTTCGAACAGTGTTGTAAAGGAGTTGCTGCCCCCTAATGCTCATTCCAGCTTCTGGAGGCTTCAGGGTGCCCAAAGCTGACCAGCTGCAGATGACAATTAGCATATGGCTGCCTGCACATGAAGTCTTCATGCTTTACTCAAGAGGTGCCACTGTTTCCTTTGCTTTCCAGAGGTGGTGGCTGTACTCCTTCATGCAGAAGCTGTGAAACTGGTTGTGTCTGCACTTGGATTGGAAAGGATGTGGAAGTACACGTAAAGACAGTTGAGCAGCTCTAGTTACTGACAGCAGCACCACAGTAGTGTCTTCAGACCCTGAAATGTTAGTCCAGTATTCAGACAGGTTTGTACACGCTGCCCTGTAAAGTCTAAAGGTGATTCAGGCAGGCCTATATGAATCAGTAAGCATCACTCTTACTTAAAGTGTAAAACTAACCTCTGTTTTTGCCAGGTTTTCTGCTGGTAGTTCCAACCATAATGCCTGTAGCTGGAAGCTGAGCCAACTCACCTTCACTAAGGTTTTCAGAAATTGCAAACTGGGTGATACTCTCCACACCACAGGCACAGCAAAGGATAATGGAGACATAAAGCAGCGTATTACCCATGGCTTAAAGTGAATGGAGATCATGTTTCTGTGTTCACTCTATCAGAAGCCTAAGCTGTGCATCAACATAAATGCAAAGGTGAACCTGGAGTACTTTGCGTATTAGGCACATCAGCGAGCATGCATGGCAAAAGTATACCCATGTGAAGTGCCAGGAGAACTCTAAAGCATTAAGTGGAAATCTGACAAATGCCCAACCTTTTGAGCCACCCACCCAGCACCCCTGAAATGGCCGTCAACACTTGCAGATTGATCAGAATTTTAGGACTGCTAAGGGGCAAAAAGAGAGCTTGCAACTTCATAAATACTCAATTAAGTGCTCAAGAGGTGCCTTTTATGATGAGAAAAGTTTTTTTGGGGCATATACTTGAGGGAGGAAGGTGAAAGCTGTGCCCATACCCCTACATGTGCTAGGGAAAACCGGTTATTAACAGGTTACTATTTAGAGCCATAGAAATGAGATGCAATGTTGTCCTGGGGTGACCAATTGATGTTTTATATAAGTAAATCGTTCCACTTAATCAGTGTTAAATATTCCTCCTCTTACTCTCACTCCTGTGTTTTGCTTTGTTATGTTTATTCGTGCTAGCTGTACATCATAACCAGTTTATCCACCTGCACTTTCCTATCATTACTGTGCCCCGTTCTCCATTTGTTTGTTACACCCAGTATGTGCATCATGCATAAGTACAATAATCTCCTCCAGGTAGCGACTTCACCTTCTTGAATGTTTGTACAGCGCTCTCCTTAACAGGCCATGGGAACATTCTCAGGGATCATGGGAACATTCTCAGGGATCATGGGAACATTCTCAGGGATCATGGGCACATCTGTTACACAATCCCAAGCCATTCAGAACAACCTATGTGCTTCTCATTTAATAAAAATAAGGGATATGTTTCTTCTAAGTCTACTTGATCCACTGCTTGCTTTTCTTTGTAACGCCACTATTGTACTGTTATGCACTTCCCATGAAAATTCGTCCAACAGAGTCCCTATCTGTCGCAGACTTAAGCGACTTTTCCATTTCTTCCCATGTAGCTGACTGCAAAATCTTTTGAAAATGTTATGTTCCTAATGGAAATGCATAGTGCTGTACAACGTGATCCATCTTAGACCAAGAGTTAGTCTGATACCCTGTGGCAAGTGATTCCACAAATACCTTATTTCCAGCAGCTGTGTGCTTCCGCCTGCATTGTGCCAGATGCAGAGCCTGCCATGGTGTGCAGGGCATAAGGGAAGTTCTCTGCCAGAGGCCTTCAACAGCAACCTGTCTCCTACAGATTCCCATACTTTGGAGAGATGGCTGCTCTTTGTCCTAAGGTCTATGCAGGTCTTAGCCTGGATTTTACTCTGGCTCCTCTGTTAGCTGTGTTCCAGTAAACTGCAATGGTGCTTTCTTCCCCCCATGCACAGCTTTCAGGACATACTTGGTTTACCAGTCTTGTTGAACGCAAGATCTAGCACGTATGGAAGTAGAGGTGATGAAGGCAGTGCCACGTAGCAGTTCAAGGCACGAACTACAGATAAAAATAATGAAGTTTGAGCAAAATTAAAAAGATGAACTTGTGTTGAACTAGAGTACCAAAGTATCTTGGACTTCCAGATTGTGCATAGTAAGACAGAAGCAGAAAATATGTTCTGTCCGTGCTACAGAGAACAGCTGTTGCATTCTTTTATCAAGGGACCTTTTCTTACGGACAAGGACACTTGATCAGATTATAGCAATGTATTTATGACAAGGACTG